CCCTCCTTCGCACGAAATAATGAAAGGAAGCATTTTTAAGAAATTTAATAAATGTATTGTAAAACTTCAAGCAATTTATTAGTCATCAATGGTTTCCAATGAGTTCATTTTTGACATTTTTTTTAACAAGCATTGATTGCCATTACACTACAGTTTGTTTTAAAGTAAATGTTGAAAAAGAAAAAAAAAAGTTGTGCAAACGTTTGACATATTATAGGGGACTTTTCCCCAATCAGATAATAACTATTGAAAAAATATAATTGTATTCACTTCGGTTTATTAAAATTTATATCTCATTAAAAAAACAAATGGAAAATAATTCATTTTTAAACAATCTAATTAATTCTCTAAATTTCTTGAACTATGATACAAAAATTTAAACACATATATGCATGCTTAGAAGCAATAAATATAAGTAATGACCACATACTCCCTCCGTATTTATTTATAGGAGAAATTATCACTTTCAGTTTGTTTTTTTATATAAGTAAAATCATAATTTTCAATAAACTTTTATTACAAATTTTTTAATTTATCCCTCATAATTTTATCATTCACAGTCTTAAAAAACAATTAATGAAGACTTGATTAACACAATTAATGAAGGGTATTTTAGTTCAAGTCTTTTATTTTTAGATACAATTAATATAATCAACTAATTTTTTAAACTGTGTGATACAGTTTTTTTTATAAAAAAAACGGAGGAAGTATTTGTAAAAAACATTAATATCATTATGTATAAGATCAAAATTCTTGCATGAGATACATGTCTAAGTTCATGTCCCCCCCCCCCCCCTTTTTTTTTCCACAATAGCTTTTCTCAATTGTTTTTACACTGGGTTTGACTCTAGTTATGTGAACAAGTTGTGTACAATAGTGTAGATAATGGCAAGCAGGCAAGGCTATAATAGATTTAATTTTTTTTAAATATATATATATATATATATAAGCAGGGTTATAAAATTTTAAAAAAGGAAGATGCCAATTCAAAGAGTTGGAAAATTCATTAAAACATTTTAACATTGCTTAACTATTTTTAGAAAAATCAAATTAATTAGAATCTTCCTTCCTTACATCACTTCCCTCCATTTTTCTACTACCAAACCATGATGATGTATGGTGAAATGGTAGTAGTGATAGTCACCATAGCATTATATACTTAATATATTTTTATTTAATCTATTTTAATATATTAATATTAATAATAATATTTTGTTGTGGAATAAACAATTTATAAAAATTCAATATGTTTTAATTTAACTAGAAATAAGTACCTTAAGGGCGTAAGATCAAGTTTTGGCAAAATATATACACACACACATATATATATATATAAGATTATGCATATGAATTTTTTTATGAAAAAAAAAAAACTTTGTGCACCGAAGCATTTTATATACTTTATAAAGTTGTCATTGTTAATTTTTATTTATTAAAATAAATTTTTAAAAAAATATATATAAATTTTAATAAACCTGTTTTCAATTCCCAGCCGATGCACCGAATCTACTACATGAGATTCATTCCTGACAAATTAAGTACAGTGAGTTAAAAATGAATCAAACATAAATTAGGCAAATTGACCCATTTAACACACTGTGATATTAAAACAAATCAATTATAATTAAATAAAATATTAAACCCTCACTAATATCAATTCCGTGAATGTTGCTCATCCTTGATTTTCATGGTAGAGCTGGAGGAAATATTGACGTTTAAGGTGACACTATATTTACATGGCAAGATCCATATATACTTTTTGAATTTAAGACATTTAAAAGTAAACTGCTAAAATATATGTTATTTGTTTATGTTTTTAAAAATATTTTCTAGCGGGTTGGATTATTTTTCCATTTAACCTGCCCAATGAGAGGTTTTGATTATTCAATCCATTAAAATAATAGTAAATTAAAGGCAATTTGACTGCAATACTACACACACAAAAATTATTTACCCATATGCTACGTTTCAAAAATATTTTCCTACATACTATAAATTTTGAAATTGATTTGATACAAACTAAGTTCCAATTTTCATTTAAAAGTATAAATTTTGGTTTCAATCAAGCTGAGTTTCATACTTTATTTAAAAAAAAAAAATTGATGCAATAAGTTGACAAGCCACCCCTCTTCTCTTCCTTCTCCCTCCTTCTTCATTAGTGTGGATAATTATTCTTTTTTTTTATTCCATTGCTCGGTATCTTAAAAAGTTTTATTATCACTTCTTGTTTAAACTAATGTAAAGTCCTGTCATTTATGATTGTTATCTATATGGATTGAGATATGAATTTTATATTTAAAATATTGCATTTCAAATTTATGTATTTAAAATTTTTGTTTGTGTAGTTTAAAAAATTGTAAGTGAAAAAGAGAGATGAGTTAATATTTGAAAAAAAATAAAAAATTGGAGGTGATGTGTTGACTTTTATTTTTTAATTGATAAGAAACAAGAACAAGAGATAGGAAGAAATAGAAATATTAATAATAAAAACACAAGAAATTTAAATTAATGAAATTATATTGAGTGTGTTTGAATTAATGAGATTTTAGATTGAATTAAATATTTTATTTGGATACACAAAAATTTAAGTTCCAAATCCAAATTTATCCATTTTTTATTATATTTCTTTTATAATTTTAAATTTCTTTATACCATAGTCAATTAAAATTTTAATCATTTTAAACATTTCATTACCGTATTTTTTATTATTAATGTTTCTATGTTTTCTTATCTATTGTTTTGTTTCTTATCAAATTAAAAAATAGAGGTCAACACATCAATTTTAATTTTTATTTTTGTTTCAAATATCAACCTATCTCTCTTTTGTATTTGAAATTTTTTAAACTACCCAAATAAAAAATTTTAAATGTCAGATTTAAAATGAAATATTTTAAATATAAAATTCATATCTAAATTCGCATAGATAATACATAACAAGAGTTTGCATTAGTTTGAGTAGGATGTAATAATACCTTCAGATTTTGTAAGATATCAAGTAATAGAATAAAAAAACAAAAAAAATAGATAATTATTCACACAAACGAGGAATGAGGGAGAAGGGAGAAAAGAGAGTAGCTTATCGGCTCATCACATCAATTTTTTTAAATAAAGTATGGAACTCGGCTAAATTTTTAAATTTTTTTTTTAAAAAAATTGAAACTCAGTTTGCATAAAACTGACTTCTAAATTTATAGTATATGGAGCAATATTTTTAAAAATGTTGCATATGGGTAAATATTCTTTTTTTTTTTTGGTGTATTGCAGTCAAATTGCCTAAATTACATGAACTACCACGCATAACCCACAACTTGTTTAAGTTAGCCTATTTGACTCCTTAAACCCATAACGATCTCTATTAATAACAGTTGGTAGTTAACTATAAAAAAAGATAAAAGAAAAGAAAAGATTAAAAAAATGCGCCAGTAAAACCAAAAGCGCCCACCAAGCTACTAGTTTTAGTTTTGTTGGCTTTTTTTCTAGAAAATAAAATCATGTCCGCTAAGCAAGGTTTTTAATTTTCTTATTTAAAAAAATAAAATTAAAACCACGAATCTACCATGACCTAAAACTCTCCTTCAGCCATTGCTCATAGGGGAAAAAAGTTGCTCCCTCCAATTTAAAATATAAATATTTTATTTAATTAATTTTAATTCAAAATATAAACAATCTAGTTTATGTAAGAGAAAAATTATTTTGCCCCTCATATTTATTAACATATATCATTGTATTAGTTTATCTTTTACTCATAATAAAATACATTGATAATTGAAACTAAAATAAAAAGAGAAAACAATATATATTTTTATAAGAATGAAGACTTTTTTTATATGCAATTTAAAAAAATGCTTATATTTTAGATAAGAGAAAATATTGAAACTATCAAACTCATGGACACTTGTAATAAAAATAAAAAGTTTAGGAAAAATGATTAAAAAAAATCTCCTTAAAATATGCTAAAATATGCAAATGACAATGAAATCCTGCCAAATGTAAAAAAAATTTTAAGTACCTTGGGACCTTTTTATATTAATATTCTTTATGAACTAACTATAATAACCTTTGTTTAAAATATTAATGATTATTTTAATTTAAATAATAACTACTTGTTTCTAATAATAACTAAAATGAGATAGCAAACATCAAATTTCGTTCTGAAATTTTTTTAATCATTATTCCATTTCTTTTTTATTTTAAATCAGGAATATTATAATCATTTCATAACAAAAATTAATGTCAAGAAGGTCCTATGAAGCTTCAGAAAAATTATTACATTTTTCAAAACCTTACCGACATTTGCATATTTCAGAAAAAATTTACCCTCATTTTCTAAAAAATTAACCAAAATGCATTCATACATACATGAATAATTGTTAATGCACACGTGTGCGCATACGTGCATGTATTTCCACTTTGACGTAAACTCATAATTTATACACTTAGAATAAAGAAAAATTTTAATATATTTGTTGACCCAACATACCAACAAATTGATAAATATATTGCTCAAATAAGATTAGAAAATTATCGCAAGTAAAACTATTGTTTCTACTACTTCTCATATCTTATAAAAATTGTTGACACAACAATTTGTTTTGGATAATACACACACACGACAATTTTTCACATTAAAGGGGAAAAAAAAACAGAGCGCGCAAGGACACATGCCCACAAATGCATACATGTTACAAATATATTTCACATTTTAAATTTTGAAATCTGAATTTGCCTAAGTCAACAAAATTAAATGCAATTGGAAAAGTACAAAAATAAAAAAGAAAGAAGATGAAAAGGGGATATATAAATAACCCCACACACAATCACCTATTTTTATCACTTTTTCCTCAAACATATAAATACATAAACACAGGACATCCAATTTCTGATTCAAAAACTTCACTTTCAAAAATAAACCAACCACTGAGATTAGTTAAAAATTAGACAACTCTGAAAGGTAATAACACAACTACTTATGTAAACAAAGACAACGACCACAACAATGATAATGACAACCACCAGCACCAGCACCTTATCCCAGTATGTCAAATTAACAATACAGTCACACAATGCTATTAGAATCAATGAGCAACTAACTTTTCATACTGCAATATCACCAAACACGTGATCTTTTTTTTCTCACAACATCAAACATATTAGCGTTAGCCAAGCTTACAATTCCCTAAACGAAGAATAATAATACCAAACCAACCCTGAACAAGCTAACTATACAACAATCTAGCACGTAGAAAAAAGAACACAACCTTGCCACCACCTTAAAGCTTGAATATAATAATAATAATAATAATAATAATAATAATAATAAGATATCCCACCACCACTAATACTAGAGGGGATAATTATACTTCTTTGAAGTGAGAAGGACCCATTAGATGATGCAAACATTCTTCTCATCAGTCACACACATTGCGAGTATTGCTTGCTTAGACGGGGATCACGTCATTCTTCGACGTGTCCTCACATCTGAGAACAATACCCTCAAGGCTTGCAGGAAAAATACATTTGCTCCATTGGCATCCTGTGGTGATTGGCTCAGATGGAGGAACAATCATGAGTACATTCTCGTTCCTCTGAACAACCCCCATCACACTTACCGTGCTTCCTTCTTTAATATACCTACATATCACCACAGATCAGGTTTCACCAGGTTATAACTCTAGCTTATTTAAGTTGATAACAATTATAGGCAGTATCAAGAACAGAGTGAGCCGAAATCTCCTAAAAGTAATCTGCTTCAGACATGAATTTAACCCAAAAGCTCGTACTAAAATGGGTCATTTGATAGGATCAAGAGGTTTAAATATCCAAACTCAAGCACAAGTATTAAATCAACTTTCAAAATTGTCAAGAGTCAATGCTGACTCTCTGCATCACGAGGTTGCAGATTGAAAAAGATGTTTGATGAAATCTCCTGGATCCCATCTCCATAAACAAAAAATCAGAGAAGCATGGTTCAAAAAGACCGTAAAACTGCTTTTTTTATTAAAGGGGGTAAAAGAGAGGGCTTTACCCTTCCTCCAACCGCATGATGCGATCGTCCCTTGAAAGATTTCTTTCACCCAGCCACCTGAGGAACTCCATAGACAGCTCTTCTTGCACTGGATTCACATTGATAACGATTGAGTTATCAACATAAGGGTTTACCCTTGCTCCATACCCAGTCTTAACCAATGCTCTCAAACCAGACTGAAAATCTGAGATGTAAAAGTCAACCACGCGCCTCTGTCACATGCCATACAATATTCCAGTCAAATTTGTGTAATCAGCAAATAAAATTATGATCAATCATTTCACCTTTAGCCATGCAAACAAAATTTTGTCCATTTCAAGTCCTAAGCTTTTCAACTAAAATGAGGGAACAATCACATACTAGTCAGAAAACGAAATTGTGTTCCCTCCTAACAAATATTATTGCACCCCACAAAAATAACTTGTCATATTTTATCGCTACAGGAAATATCTTTCTATTTCCTGATCAGAAGTGAAAACTACAAAAGTAAATGATAATATATGAGATTACAGATTAAAGTACAAAAAGATATGATATAAAACTTAGAAAAATTAAACCAGAAGACATTTTAGTAACTCACTTCCAGTGATCTAAGGCCCCAAGTAAATCGGCGGTGTGTAGGGTTGGCCGCTTTTGAATCCCATCCTCGGTACTCATATAAACTCGTTGATGTATATACACATCTAGGGACTTTATTGAAAGATGACTCAAGAGGAACATTACCGCAGGTAACAACCTTCATATATCAAGAATCAAACATAACTTCTGTGATTAATGTCACTAAAAGAGTTATAGAAAAGATGCAGGGAAAAAAAATCAAGTGCACAATTTTCTTCCACATAGGCACATAAATTGGAAAATATTTGACAGAAAAGTTTTGGTCCGGCAACATTTTAATTGAGAAATAGCCACAATATATAATGATATTGTTGATTGTCAACTTATAAACTATGAGGAAAAATACATCAACACAAAATGACATAATAGTTCCAATCACAATTAAAACATGAAAAATAAAAGTAGAAAACACATAATTTCCCCATCCTGGGAATGACTTGTTTCCTAGTAAACACAATTTCTAACAATTGTCCAAAATATCTGGGTTCAAAATTATACAATGCCGTGAGTATCCATTTTCTGTCATTTTGATATAAAATTAAACATCTAAAAGCACATGTAAATTATGGGGCATGAACAAAATACACCTAAAGCTAGTGAAAAATAATTACAATTAAACAAAATCACACTGGTGCAAAGACAGCAGAAGAATAAGAAAAAACACAAGAATAGAAAATTATGTGGCAATATACAAACATGAAAACAAGATGAACTTGAGGGATTAGCCAGTAACAAGAACTTACTCCAGAGACCTTCACGAATTGCCCATTTTTTGCTGTTCTAAGCTCTGAGTCTGGATAATGACCAATAAAACCCATAATAGCTCTTCTTCCACAATAAGTATTCCAAGTGAACGATGCAGCAACTAAGCCAAAAAGCACCACAACAACAATAAGGAGAATGGGATTGTGCACTGCTCCTAGAATAAAACCACCAGCAATGAACCCCATCACAAAAAGCAGAATTAATGACCATAACATTGCCTTGGGAAAGTTCCTTTTGAAGGAATAATCATCATCTTGACTGAGGACAGTTATAGCATGATTATGAACAGCAGCAGACCCTTGCAACTTCATTGAACCTGTGGCTTCCAAAGGACCAGACAATTTCCGAGGTGCCCCTGAAGAATTTAGCGGGCCAGATGATATGGGGCCAGATGTAATGAGACCTGTTGCAGGAAGAACAGGAGGAAGAGGTCCAGAGTTTTGACGCCCAGTTGGTGTTACTCCACCAGACTGAGGACCAGAAGACTTCTTTATAGGTTCCCCATGCTTATTCAGAGGTCCAGAATTTGATTTCTTCATGGAAGCTGACCCAGGCATGCCTCCAGAGGTCATAGGACCGGAAGTATAGACAACCCGAGTAGCATTATTAGGTTGAATTGGTCCTGAATGAGAACCAGCTCCTCCAAAAGACCCTGTCCTCGAAGTAGATCCTGTTATTGGTCCAGATTTCCTAGATTTCGAACCATCAACAGGAATGTCAAACATTTTCCCCAGTTCTCCAGACTTTTTGATGTCTCCGCCAGTGTATGGCATTGCTGTCGAGGTCATTGTTGGTGTCCTCTCTTTGGGCTGCTCTGGCCGTCCTGATACATATAGGCCATTGCTAAGCTGATGAGATGGGAATCTGGAACCCATCTTTAGAAGACTCTTGAGAATTCACACAACAGTACCGCAATTCAAAAGGTCTTCCTGAAAGTTTGGGGAAACAACCAAGGAGTTAAGTGTTATTGCAATATGCTTGAAGGCTATCTTGGCACCTAAAAGCATAGCTAAGCTAATGCGATAGGAATCCGAAATCCATATACCTTCTACGGAAGAACCCTTGAGAACTTATGCTACAGAACCACCTGCAGTGGCTGATCTCAGTGTCAAAGTCGTCCTGAATGAAGAAAAAAGATTGAAAAGGAAGCCAAGGAGATTAAAATGATAGCAACAGCGCCGCAGTTAACATGATAAGCTTCTATGTTTATAAGGGAAACAAAACAAAAGCCTCTATGTTGCCCATCTTGAACTATCATATTCAGAAAATGACAAGCTTTCGTTTAAAACTATGTAAAAATTAAAAGACAAACATCTAATCAAATTACAAAAGAAAGAGTGAATTATTATCAAAACTTCTGTTTTAGTGGGGAAATCCTCATGAACAGCACTGGTGCCAGACACAATGCCCTGTAAAAGTAAAAATTTACAGCCCAAACAGAGAGAGAAAATCCAGTCCTCCATCATCATTGGGGGAAAAAAAAATTAAGGCAAAAGATCTCAGAAAAAAGTTAGTGATCTCAACGCTCAACGGTCCAATTACAGTACGATTGAACTTAATCAACAGGGGGCCCATATATATTTAGTGTAATCTATCCAATGTCCCAACTTAACATTTACTTCCTCCAACATTTTCTCAAGAAGCAGAAATAAGAACCAAAAAAACCACAGAGAAAGAACCAAAATCCAGTTCCAAAATATAAGGAGATAAGAGCCTTCTATATTTAGAAAGATTTCAGTAAACAGCGCGAGCACCGAACAATCAGGTACCAAAAATCATGATAAAAAACGAAAAAAGAAGAGCAAAGAAGACCCAGTGTGTACAAAAATTAAGAAAATGGAAAGGATCTAAGGGGGAAACACAAAAATAGAAATTCCCGAACTTACAAAGAGCTGGAGAAGTAGGCAGCAAGAAAAAGCAGAGAGTATGAGAAGCATATGGATTTAGCATACCTGAAGAGAAGAAAGGCATTAAAAAGAGAGTGAGAGTTGAAATCAGGAGATTTGGACGCATTATAGGTGAATCAAACAGAAAACAAAAGCAATCTGAGTGAGCATAGAGGAAATTTGAGTTGTGTAACTGATGATATTCTGTGAGTCCCAGGTTAGAGAGCCCCAACAAAATGTGTGGGTTGTCTGCTTGGGCAACTCCAACGCGAAGAAAATTTAATTTAAACGAGGAAATTTTTGTTAAATTATATTTATATACCGGCAACATCCTCTCTCTCTGTATCTCTCTCGCTCTCTCTCTCTCTCTCTCTCTCTCACTCGCTTACTGTGGTTGGCCAACAAGGGGCGAGCGCGCTGTTAATTATGGAATCACCAAAATACCCCCAACTCTGAGGAGGACTTCCTGTCCCCTTCTCTATTGTCTTCTGTCTTGGGAGAATTGCAAGAAAGTACCCCTATTTTAATGTTAATTGTGAAACATTCCTTTGAAATAATTTTTTTTTTTACAATTACTCAAAAAATTATCATTTTTTATGTTATCCATGGGAATTTAATATGAGGTAAGTATTGATTCCAGGGAAAATAATTAAATTTCATCTTACTAATAATGTCCTTCAAAATCTCATCTCAATGTCATTTTTAAAAATCAATGAAATTTTTTAAACTTTCTAATGAGGTAGTAATAAATTTTAGATGAGATGTATTCATGATAAGATTGTCGTAATTTGATCATGAATATAAAACTTATAATAACTTCCTTAAAGCTTGAAGAAGTGTTCATATGGTAACATGTCTAAAACTTATAATAATATACATATATTGTATTTAAAAAACATTTCTTGAATTGATACTTGCAGGACTCTAGCTATGATATTTACACATTGTATTTTTAAAATATCTTGATATTATTATGAGTTTTAATGGTAAAATATTTTAGAAAAATTATCTTTTATTAATAAAACTTGATAACTCACTCATTGAGAACAAAACAACCGTTACAATAGAAACCAAACAACCAAAAAACTATATCACCATAATCAAATAAAAGATTATTGATAAAAAAGTTAAAATCATTGGTGAGGTTGAAAGCTAACTTGGCAAGGTAATTAGCAATATTGTTTTCCTTCCAATGCACAATATTAAATCTAACATTTTGACTCTTAACTAATAATTTCCTCCATAAACAAAATGTAAGAATCTTGAAAAAATTTAGAACACGAAAAAATAAAAGTATAGAGACTTAAAATATTAAAAAAGTGTAAAAATCAATAATAAAATGTAAGCAAAATGCAGGAATTTAAAATTATATTTTTTTAAAAAAAATCATCATAATCATGTCATATTATAACTAAATTTGTTGTAATATGTATCATGATTATCATATATTTATTATATGATCACATTTTGACACTATTATATCAAAGCAGATGTTATATACTTTATTTGTTTAAAAATATAAGAAATTCATAATTGAATCTCATCTCTTAATAAATTAATTAATTGTCTTCAAAGTAACATAACCTTTTCATATTTACTCTTATTTAATAAAATATTTTATTTTAAAATAAATATAAAATGCATTTATTTATCATGGACACTTTAAAAAAAGCATATTAATTATACCTTGAAATATTAAAATGTTTTATATTTTTAATAGAGGAGGTATAATGTAAGATATAAGGCATTTTTTGACAAAATTATACATCTTTCTTAAATACAGTTTTTTTTTTTTGCCTCATTCCTTAAACACAGTTGACAATATTAATTTTTCTATAAACTTTCAAAATATAAGGCTTGTTTAGCAACATATTCAAGGAGCAGTTTTTTATTTTTTAGAATAAAAAAAATTCACTTTTAATGTAATTTTAAAAAGTGTTTTAGAAAATAAGAAAACTAAATATTATTCTGAAGAATAAAAAAATAAAAACACCTTTAGATTTTATGAGATTATTGTTTTGAAAAATGAGAAAGAATACAAAACATGCATGTTTTGTCTTTTTTTTTTATCCTCAAAACATTTTATATAAAACACTGATTCTTAAAATAATAGAACAAAAATATTTTCAAATAAATTCATACATCTCATTAATAAGAGAGAGTATGAGGGGGGAAGAAAATTTATTTAAAAAGTGAAATAATAAGAAGTAATATTAGAATAATCATCATTAATAAAATATTTTTTAAATATCTTATAATTTACATCACAAAATCATCTTAAAAAGTATTTTATAAAATGAGGGTGAGGGAACATTATATATTGATAATAATTTGATAATTTTTTATTTCTAAGTTTTCTTAAAAAATTATTGTTTCCAAGGGTCTCAGATTACATGGAAGAGTAAGTCACTAACTAAAAGATATGGATGGTGATATAATTAGAAACGTCGCCAAGGTGTCGAATTGGGTCCTTTCTTGTGATTTTTTCTTTTCTTTTCGTCCTGTCACGGACGTTAGAACTTGCGTCTGGCATTGGTTGCAGTTTCTGCGGCCGATATTTTTAGTTTTTACATGAATTTAGGAAGTGGCTTTTTATCTCGTTTTTTTTTTTATATTTTCTTTCAGTATTTTGAAATCTAAACCGGATATGAAACCAAAAACAACAACGAGTTATGATTTTGTTGGTTTAACTGATTAGAGGAGCAGTTAAATCAGTAATATAAAAATTAAATAAAAAATAATATTTATATGTACAATTATATAAATAAAATATTAATTTATCAATGATTCTTAAAATCTCGACTTCAAAAGCTAGATGCTTGGATCGTTAGAGTTAAAGGTCGAGGTATGTTAGTACAAGCTTGTGATCTCGAAAGAAAATGCTAGAGCTAGAGACACGCTGTCATGTCATGACTCACAAGCTTCCAGACCTTAATGCCAAAGGTTAGATCTCTAGAGTTGGAGGGAGAGGTTGGAGGAGAAGTTAAAGATTAAGCTTGGATTATAAAAGAGAGATTAGAGATTAGATATTAGAGAAGAGAAGAAAGAATTAATGATTAGAGAAGAGAAATTACGAATTTAAATAACTAAGTCTAATTTTTTTAAATTTTTTTGGGCTTTGAATCGAGTTGACCTGACATTAATTTTCAAATCAAAACCAATTTTCTTAAAACTAATTGATTCAATTTAGATCAATTTGAATCAAATACTAAATTGATTCAATTGATTGAATCAAGTTGTTTTATTCAGCAAGTAACAATCAAACTATTCAGTTCTGTTTTAACAATACTGTTTTCTTTTCCAGATAAGTATGACATGAAAAGTAAAGTTCTTTTGTTATCACCCGCCAAATGAAATAAAACATTATTATTAATTTTTTTAAAATTAAAAAAATGTAAAATTGAAATTGAAGATCGAAGTTGAAGTTAAGAAATTGGATAAGAAGGGAAAAGGCGGTGAAAGCAAAATCTAAGCATATCTTAGATTTGATGGAACAAGGAGGAGCATCAATCCGCATCAGTTCTCTCCGCTTGTATCCAATTTGTCTGCGATGGGATCTTCTTCTCTTTCTCACTCTTTCTTTCTTTCTTGCTTTTTTTATTCTTCACGCTATGCAATCATATTCCAAGAACAGTCAAATAGTAAATATGTAAATCTTGACTCATCAATATTGTAAAAGATTAATTTTTTAAAAAAATATAATAAAATTATTTTAAAATATATAAATAATAATTTTATCTCTTAAAATATTATAATTTTTTTGAAATTCTTAAAAAATTTCCTATCATTCATAAATTTATATAAATAATTAAATTATCCTAATTAAAAATAAATTATTTATAAGTTTTATTTAAATATTTATAATTTTTTTTCTTATATTCACAACAATACAGCATATAAAGTTATAATTTGTTGTTGTATTGTTGTAAATATTTAAATAACATTTATAAATTATTTATTTTTAATAAAGGCAATTAGTCATTTATATGAGTTCATTAATGATAAAAAAATTAGTAAGGACTTCAAAAAAATTATGATATTTTGAAGAACTAAATTATTATTTATATATTTTAGAGAGATTTTATTATTATTTTCTCTTAATCTTTTTACTAATTTAATTTCTATTGATTTTCATTCTCACTCTTTTTTATTATTATTGCCTCACCTGTCATTATGTTAAAAAATAACTAATCACTCCTTCTGGGGATCCCTATTCTAAGAGTAATTCTAGAATTTTCTTTTTTTTTTTTGTTTTTGGGTCCATGCTATGAGGGGAAGAGTAATATTTTTTTTAATGGTGGGATATCTTTTATTCCTGATTCTATTAATGCGTTCTCTCAAATAAGTGAATATAGGATTGTGCAAACAGCCTGATGGTCTGGTGCGTCTGACCACGTTTAAGCCGAATTTCAGGTCAAAATCATGCCCTGTTTTGTCTTTGTATTTATCCTTTAGTATGGTCTAAAAGAATAGCATTGTTATTTACTGGAGCCTTTGTGCCATAATCATTTTATTTTGTTTCAAGTGAGAATACGATGGGTGACTTCTAAAATAATTTAATATCATATAAAGATTTTTAATAATTGAAGTTCATATTTTAATGAATATTCAATTTTTCTAAATCTTTGTGAAATATTAAATTATTTTAACGGTCATCATCAATATTCTCCCTTGTTTCAATGAAGTTTTCTTCTACCTTAGAAAAAATAAATTATAAAGTATAGAAATTTAAAATTTGAATCTGTCTAAAAAATGAAAAAGAAAAAGTTTAAGAAAATTGTACCATGAACAATGTGGACTTTATGGAGCTCGTATAACTGAATTGACCTGTATCCTAGTAATAAGCCTAATGCTAGGTAGGTGGAATAACGGGCAAGGTCTAGACTCCAGAGCATCCCTCCCGTACGCCAAGTTTAGTTGACCAGTTACAGGACATAGAGGCTGGGGAAGGACTTGACATCATTTATTCAAATCTATACAGGTAATTGAATTGAAGGGAAACCACAGGACCTTCCAGAAAAATTTTTCACACTCAATAATTAATACATAATTATTTGTCATTGAAATAATAACAACGACTTATTTTTTCTTTAATAATGATTTATTGTTCACTTTTTTTTGGCGAATAATTCTTAAATGAAGTCCTTAAAATTAAAGGTTAGTAGTATGGTGATAGTGGAGCTTAAATTACCCAATCATAATTAAAATAGTATCATCTCCATTTGAAATTATAAAATAATTTTGAAGATATTTCATTATCTCAAAATATAAGATAATTTAATAAAAATAAGATTTCATTTATAATGATATATTTGAAATTTACAAATACATGCTTGGAATTCACAATTATAGTCATTAACATTTTATAACATACTATAGCGTATTAATCTAGTTTACATTGTTTTTTTTTAAACATACACACATTATTTTCATTCAAAGTACTCATCATGCATTTCACAACCTCAAAAACATAACAAGCATATATAGGAATTTGAGTTCCTAATTACTTTAACTCTTGATTTACAAACCAAGTTACTTATGTCAATACACAATTGAGCCTCCTCCATACTCAAATTCACCATAAGAGGTCAATCTATGTTTCAATACCACCAATCTTTTACCCAAAAAAATTCCATCAATCTACATATCAATAATTAATTATCATCAATTTTCTCTAATCAAAGCTTAACCCCAAAATTTTTATTGTAGCAATCTACCACAACTTTACCAATTTCTACCTTTTACTAGCTTATTTATACTCTTATTGGTCTAGATAATACCATTAGATACTCACATTGTCAATAACCTATCCACCCCACTTTGTTCAAACAACGCCATTTTGCTTGTTCTGGCATAACCTAATTTTAGGTTAGTGAATCGTGATTCTCTCGGCCCCTCACACACATAGAACAGAATACTCTAGAGTCCAGATCGAGTCACAGAAGTGCTCCACTTTCCTCTAATCTATCTCGATTTCAAAGCTCTAATGCAAGCTACTGCGGAACCCTATCAAGCGAGCTGTTGAAGAATCTGTCCAGCAAGCTTCCGCAGAACCAGATCATGCGAGCTGTTACAGAACTAGTCCGACGAGCTTCTGCAGAACCAGTCCGGCAAACCTCACGAGCTCTCAACTGTTCAATCCTGTTCATGTTCCTTGCCTCTCTTTCTCAACCTGACCGTCGTCTTGCCTCTCCTCTGTTCGTCGCATATGTGTTGGACATTGGCATCTTCATTCTCGATTCTCAACTGACCTCTCATCTTTAGCATCTTTCAGTTCGGTCAGGTCTGCTTCCAGCCTCGTCTGCCATCTTCAATCTTCATTAAAAGGTTAGAGCTCTTACTATTGAAGCTCAATCAAATGATTTATAGTTTAATAAATAATTGGTTTTGTGATTCTGGACATCTGGGTGCTGATTGATGATTGCTAATTTAGCAATTTTGATTATATTTTGATTAAACTTAGTTGTTTTTTATGGATTTGGAACCTCCAACTCTTGCCACCGATAATCCTGATCTTGGCACTACCTCTGGCTCAACTTCAAATAATAATAGTACCCTACAAACTGCTGTTGGTTCGAATAGTAATGATGCCTTTGTGCCTCAAGTATCACCTACACCATCTCTTCGAGGGAAAAGTGATCTTACATGGGAGAATTTTGCTTTTAAAAAATATACTTGCCTTCATTGCTCCTTATCATTTAGAAGAGGTAGGATTAATAGGATGAAGCAGCATCTTGTAGGTGTTTCAGGAAATATAATTTCTTGCAAGAAAGTTCCACATGATGTTCGCCATAGGATGGTTCAATCTTTGAAAGAAGTGTCATTGGTGAATAAGAGGAAGCTTGATGATTCAGACATGTCTGAAGAGTTTATTGATAACCCAGAAGGTGAAGTAATTACTCCAAATCCAGAGCCAAGTAAGCAAGCTAAGAAGGTAGGTTCTAGCAATGTTATTGTTGTGAAAAAAAAAACGAAAAACTAATGGAGTTAATAATTATATTGCCCCAAGGGCAACTTCTGGCTCCCAACCAAGGCTAAAGAGTGTATGGTCATCTAAAGAAGCTCAATATAAAGCTAAATTAGCCATTGCTAAGTGGTTATATATGAATTGTATTCCATTTAATGCTGTAAATTGTCCACATTTTTTGCTTGCTTTGGATGCAATTGCTGTAAATTGGCCAATGTTTTAAAGGTCCTTCATTTAAGGAGTTAAGGATTAACTTGTTGATTGATTATAGAAAAGAGTGTCAATTGCTTATTGAAAGCCATCGAGCCACTTGGATAGAAAGTGGCTGCACACTCATAGCTGATGGTTGAACTGACAAAAGGCAACGAACATTAATAAATTTTCTAATTTATTCTCCTGTTAGCTTCATTTTTGTAAAGTCTGTTGATGCTTCACATACAGTCAAGGATGTCAAGAATTTGTTTTTGTTTTGTTTTGTGAAGTTATTGAGTGGGTTGGTCTTAAAAATATAATGCATGTTGTGATTGATAATGCCAATTATGTAGCTGCTGGCAGGTTGGTTTATGAAAAATATAATCATATCTATTGGTCACCTGTGCTGCTTACTATTTGAATCTTATTTTGAAGGACATTGCAAGCATGCCCCATGTAGCTGACCTTGCAACAAAGGCATCAAAAATTACTGTTTTTGTGTACAATCATATGGCTTTTCTTTCATGGCTTAGGAGAAGAGATGGCTGGATAGAAACTATGCACCCAGGAGTGACCAGGTTTGCTACTACTTTCATTACATTGAAAAGTTTGCATGAGCACAAGCATGATTTGCAAGCCTTGGTCTTAGATAAGTACTTTCATAATAATAAACTATTAAGGACTAAAGTTAGGCAACTAGTTGGTGACATTGTGTTGGACAAGAAGTTTTGGGATGATTACTATCAAATTGTATGTCTTGTGGGTCCTCTTATCAAGCTACTAAGAATTGTAGATGTTGATGAAAAACCATATTTGGGTTATGTTTATGAGGCTATGTAGAGAGCAAAGAATTCAATCAAAAATTTCTTTCATAGAAAGAAGGAACAATACAAGCCTTGCACAAGCATAATTCAAGCATGGTGGGATAAGCATTTGAAGTGTGATTTGCATGTAGCAGCCTACTTTTTAAATCCTGCATTCTTGTATGACTAAGGATTTATTGAGAAGAGTAGAGTGACAAAATCAATGTTGGACTATTTTTCAATATACAAGTCTACCCATGAATATTCTAACATGATTTTTGAGTTGCAAATGAATTGCAAGCGCTAAGGCTCTTTTGGCCGAGAAGAAGCTCATAAAGTAGCAAATGAAATACAACTTGGTTAGCTTCTTATTCTTTTTTTCTTTTATTATAATTTTAAATATTAACTAATATTAATTTGTTTGAATTTGATGTAGATGTCTAGTGGCAATGTTTGGGGGGTAGTGCTCCAATATTACAAAAGTTTGCAATTCGCATTCTAGGACAAACTTCTTCTTCTTCATGATGTGAAAGAAATTGGAGTTTATTTAAAAGAATTCAAACCAAAAAAAGAAATAGGCTAGAACATGAAAGATTGAATGATCTTGTGTTTGTTAATTACAACTTGCGTTTGCTAAATAGGTGATCATTAATTATTACTCAAATCTGAAATAATTTTCTTTGGCTTCAATAATTGAATGATTAGGGATTTGATTGTGATTTTTTTATATAATTCAAAATTGAAGAAGGTGAGTTATGATCCTGTTGATTATGAATCAATTGATAAGCTTGAATATTGGATAGCTAAAGAAGTTCCAACTCCACATCCTGACTTCACTGTTGAGGAAATTCAAAATGAAGATTTTCTTAGTGGCAATGCATGTCCCTTTGGATCCGGTCTTGAATTAAGGAAAAATGAAGTTTGCTCCTCTTCTTTTTACATTAAAACTTTGTTTGATTTATAGTTTATTCATTCATTATTTATATGTCAATGCTAACTATTTTTTTTTTCAAATATATGTCTAGGTGCTGTTGAAGATGTGAATGTTCCGTAGTCTCCTATTTTGGATTCACCGAATGCTATAAGAGTTGAAGGAGATGTTTGTGATCTTCAGCATGATTTTGGAAAGTTTAATTTAAAAGATCTGTATGGCAATTGAATGTTGTAGTTTTTGGATTGAATTTGGACCATTAGATTGTATAAGAATGTTAGATTGTGGTGTTGTGTTGTGCATGGCCATGAATGACTTTAAAGTTTGAAGTTTGAATTCTGAACATGGATATTACTTACTTTCCTACTATTAATGTGTACTTGGATTTGTACGCCTTTAAACTTTGAAATATGATGAGATCATCACTTTATTAGTAGTTAGTTATTTTTAATTTATCATATTTCCTATAATTTTTAATGTATAATATTTAAAATATATTAATTTAATTACAAACGATTCGACCCCAGTCCGACCTTTGAACCATGAACCAGTGCCTTGATTAGTTCAATGTTCGATTCAATTTTAATAACATTAAATCACACAACATCTTCCGTGGTGCTTGTCCACTTCGATAAATGTTAAATAGTAAAGTAGGCAAAGCCTATGAGCTAAGCCACTACTTTGGGCTTGATGTGGCCTATTACTTCCTTGAGTCAAATCCTAAACCTATCTTAGGTTTTATTAGACTCAATAACCATTCATTAATCTCATTTTGGCCTACTCAAATTAGTAATTTACCTTTAATTAGTCATAATTAATCTTGAATTTTTGAGATATTTCACAATACATGAGAAAATATGTCTAATTCTTACAATATGTTGGAAAAAAATTAAAGTTGAATACTTGAAAACTTAATTTTAATTAACAAACTTGATTCTTCTTAATTTTTTTTAAATAAAGTATTCTTATCTGTAATTAGTATTTTTTGAATTTCCTGAAATATCATTTTTCCCATTTAAAAATTATACATTAGTACATATTCTCTCCATTCAAAAATATAATGCATTTTTTAAGGAGTTAAATGTTTAAAAATATAATGTATTTTTAATCTTTTGAGATGTAATTAATACTTTTTTTAAAAGTGTCTCTATTGATAATGATTTTATACTTATTGTAGGGCTTTTAATAAGAATAAATATAAAAAATTAAAATTAATTAAAAAATAAATAACTATTTTATTAAAGGTTGAGATTTGATTATAAATATTTTTTATTTTCAAACGAAAGGAGTACACTTAATATCATTATTCAACATTTATGACACGAGGGTAAAAAAAAGTTAATAATTAAGATTTATTATTTACATCGGTGATCTCACCGGAAACCAGAGCTCCTGACACCGAAAGTCTAATTTGTATTTTTAGGCCATTTTATCCCTAACCATTTGGTGTTTGTTTGCGTATAGTCAGAGCAATCGAGGAAGATGGCTTCGCCGGCTATGGCTTCTTCCACTCAATTCCTTCACACTTCCTTTCCTCGTCTTCCGAACCTCAGGCTCAAGTACAATCCTCTCGCTTTTCCCTCGTTTCTCCCTCCTAAACCCACCATTACTTTCCACTCCAATCCTCAATCCATCCGTCATTTTCCACTTGTTCGTGGTGCTTTGGTCTCTCCTTCCTCTGCTCTTTCGCCGGAACTGCCCCTTCAAGCTTCCCCAACCTCACCGCCGGAAATTCTCTCAGGCTCAACCCGTACTCTTGCTACCATATTTGCCCTAGGTTTATCTATATCTCGCTTGTGCATCAATCTAATTCAGAAAATCCCACTCGTTCCTGGGCCGGAGCAGCTTGCTGCAATTCTGAACCTTCAGAGAAATGCTATCTGTGCCGCCGGTCCTCTCTTCTTTGCGTCGTTGCGGGACCGTCCCAGTGGTTATTTGAACACTCCGCTCACTGTTGTGGCCGCTGGACTCGCCAAGTGGCTCGACATCTATAGTGGGGTTTTGATGGTTAGGGTTTTGCTTAGTTGGTTCCCCAACATTCCGTGGGAGCGTCAGCCTCTCTCAGCTATTCGGGACCTTTGTGATCCTTATTTGAACTTGTTTCGAAATATTATTCCTCCCGTATTTGATACGCTTGATGTTAGTCCGCTTCTAGCTTTCGCTGTTCTGGGCACTCTTGGCTCAATTCTCCATGGCAGCAGCGGCTGATTGTTTATAAAGTTTCAGCTATTCATCGAGTGGTGAAATGCTGTATGCAGAGTTTATCTTCAATGTTAGCTTCATCTTCGATATTTTGTATTTCATTATTGTAGGGATACACTTACCACAATAATTTCGTCAGGTTTCAATATATAAATTTTGATAGTTTTTGGCATTATTTTACTTGATTAGTTGATTTCAGATTGTATTAGATTGTATTCTGTTATATGTACTCTGAATAACAGATACTTGAATATTTCTCCAATTTCTTCCGATTGTGATGCTTCAGTCGTTTGAAGTTTTTATTTATTTATTTTAGAATATATCAATATTCACCTTAGAATCTGCTTGGACGTTGGATTTTTATGACTCTTACCTGTCCATCAAGCATGAAGTGTATCAAATGTTAACCCAACGTGTGTGCATTTATGATTACATAACTGAAGGTCTTGATGTTTCCCTGAGTTACTGAATTAGTTGGCTGTCAGGTACCATGGCTTTCTGCCATTGTTCTATATGATGTATGCCCTATGTCTCTTCATTGATGTGTTTCTTTCGAATATAACTGAGATTTCTGTGGAATATTGTGTCCTTGAATTATTCAAATCTTGGTGCATCTAAGTAGAAAAAACATATTGGTGTCTACTTGGTTTTTTGTTCCACAAAAAATTTTGAGGAGGATGGTTTGTGGCTTAGCTCTGCTAAAAAATGTAGCTGTGGTCGTGTAACTGGATAGTATGAGGACGATGGTTAGAGGCTTGGCCTTTCGATACTAAATTTACAGTGTATTTGATCCCATAATTTCCAAACCATGTTATCATTGTTATTTTGTTATTCATTTTTCTCCTATGAAAAATATATAGGTGTGTGTGTGTGTGTGTGTGTGCACTCAAGATATTTACTGGTGTCCTTCTGAAGCAACTCCATGCTAAATATCTGTGACAATCGAAGGAAGCAGTAATACACTAAGAAAAGGGGCACTTGGGTATGTTCATATTTGATACAATGCTTGTATTGTATTCCAACCTTTATATGTGTTAAAGAATTGATGAAATCTGCTGACACCTTTGTAGGATGTACATTTTACAATGAACAATGAAGTTAATTGTATCCCTTCTATTGTCATAGTTTGACTGAATGGAAGCTTGAGATATATATTTAGTGTGCAAATTATGAAAAACAGTTAAAATGTGTTGCATTCTTTAGTAAAATAGTCCTGTACGGATTTACAGTGAAGTTATTTGTATCCCTTCTATGTTAACGCTCTACTTATTTCAAGGATTTTGACAGATTCTTTGAAGGGGTTTCTTTTGGATATGCAGAGAGACTAGGTAGAATTGCTGCATGCTTGTCCTTTTTCTCCCCCTTTTTTGTGTGTTACTGTTCTGTAATTTCACTTTCTTGGAGGATTCCAAATCATCCTCACTTGGATCTTCTTTCTTGATTAATTTCTTGTTTTACATTAAAAAGTGAAGTTCAAATCCTTTAATGTTGCTTGGTCTGTTCATTTTTACTGCCTATTCGTAGATGGAATTTTATGTTGTCAGATATCACGACAACAACTTTATTTGAGTATCGAGAGAAATGAAACGGGTTCTATTGATGTGGAAATTGAGATGCATTTGAACCTTTTCTTTGTTTATTAGTCCAGCTATGTTATATAGTAGTGAATGTTAGGCTTTAAAAGGATAGTAAGAGCATAAAGTTGGAGTAACAGAGATGAGAATGTTGAGATGGATGTGTGGGCATTTATGAAAAGATGAAGTCTAAAATGAGTGCATACGAGAAAAGGTGGGCGTGGCATCTATTGAGAGAAAAATGATAGAAAATCATTTGAGATGATTTGAACATATACAGAGAAAGTTGTGGGAAGCACTTTGAGGAGAGTGGAAACGGATAATCTTAAACTTTGTAAAGAGGGGTAGAAGAAGATCAAAGATAACACTTATGGAGGATATTGAACAAGACCTATTAGTTAATAATATTTTAAAAAGTTTGGTTAATGATAGAGCACAATAGCATAATGCAGTCCATGTAGTTGACTTCACCTAGTGGGATAAGGCTTGTTGTCGTTATTGTTGGAAAGAACATTCATGCCTTATATACCATGTGAACAAAGTGTTAAGTGGCCGCTGAGCGTTTCTCTCTCTCTCTCTCTCTCTCTCTCTCACATATATGCCTTATTGTTTAAGAGTTGGTATCTTTGTAAGAGATATGCTGTACCCTTGCAACCATAGAGAAGAAAGAAAGGAGATAGAATTCTGTGCCACATGGGGCCACATGGGCGAGTTGATCTGTTTTTGCTTCACTATCTGTTTTAGAACTTCTTCTTTGTAGCCATTTTTTGTAGCGCTTAAGATGGTAAAGGATAAGCTTTAAAAAGTTGACATACTAGCCATATTTTATAATTTTAGCCAATCTTTCATGTGTCTCCAGATGTATTTTGCTCACTGGACTGAGTGCTCCTACTCGTTGTGCTATTAGTTTAAGATGCATGTGAGGAAGGGTGGGAGTAGAAAGAGGTAACTTTTTGTCTAAGGCAGAGTGCAGACAAAGAATGAGACTTATGGAAGCTGACTTGGGCATTTAGCAGTTTGGATGATCTACGTTCACAAGAAGAGGGTGCATACAGGGAGAGATAGAGAGAAAAGATAGAAGAGTGTGGATGAGTGTAATTATGAGATATGGATCCGATACATAACCACATTCTCGAGTCATTCTATCCCCAAATGCATTAATACAAGAATTACAAGAATCAAATTTGGTATTCAAGAAAAAGCTAGTGTGAAGGCTGTTATTGAGCCTCAATAAGAGGTGCGGGGAAGGGGAGAAGGGAGATTAGTTCGGATTATCTAGCAGCCTCCAAAGGGCTTGGGGCTAATTTTGCTTGCTCTGTTTTTTTTTTTTTTCCTTTTTAATCTGTCGGTTAGGCTGGTTTCCTATCTCTAGATTTTAGTATTCTGTTTCATTCTTAATTCAGAATTTCTTTATTTTTCGCATCTCTTCAGTTTTTCTGAATTCTCCCATTCTAGGATTGAGTTCTATCAACTTCAATGTGATTACGAGAGTATTATAACCCTGCAGTTTGAGGTTGTGGGTCATTACTGTGAGTCCAAACTCTCTCTTGTAAATATATTACACTTGTAAGAAACTAAGAACGTGAGAAATTGATAAAAAGTGAAGCAAATGGAGATGGACGAAGAGAGGAAGTGAATCAAATCCACACTTACATTTTCATGTGTAATTCAAAAAGGCTTCATCCTTCCCCTTAAAAACCCCAATTTTAGAGGTGGGGGAGGGAAGGTTTGTTAAACTTTTGTCTCCCTTCCCCCTCGAATTGTTTGAATCAAACAAGAGGAAGAGAGCATCTTTTGCTGTCTCCCATCCAAAATGCATTATTGTTTTATCTTGTCGGGGCTAGTCTAGGCTACTGTTTCCTGAAGAAATTTGGTCTCTGTAAGATGTAAACTTCGTATCCTGTCCATAACATCTCACAGTATAATGCAATATAGCATCTCCCTTAGTGAGGATGAGCAATTTCCTGCTAGAGTATATGTGTATATACATGTATTTATGCATGTAAGTATCGCTTGATGAACAATTTATAACTGTGTTATGTGTGAGTATTTGTGCATATACATATATGCATCTAATACGCACATATACAAATTGGCCCAAGGGTCGTGTGTATATAAGGCTGCTAGCAACCTTCAACTGAGCATAGCATGCTTTTTAATGGTTAATATGATTTAGGATCCTGATGCAAATGGGAAATTCACGGTCAAATCTGCCTATGTTACCCCCCAATCGTTGACTTGGAATGATGCTGATGGTATTTGGGCAAAGACGTGGAAGCTTCCCGTGGCTCAACTGGTCAAACCCTTTTTCTGGCTTATGATGAAAAGTAGATTGCTCACTAACTCTGAACGATATCGGAGAAAGATGACACAGGATCAGCAATGTTCACTTTGTAATGCAACAATTGAAAATATAAATTATATATTCTCAAAGATCGTCCCCTGGCTGCAAATGTTTGGAAAAGAGTCTTAGCTACTGATATGTGCACTGACTTCTATGGCAAAGGATATTAACTCTTGGCTGGTTCAATATCTTCAAATGTCTGAGCTGGACATTTCCTGGAAGGTTGGAATCAGTATAATGCGCTCGAAATTATGGCAAGTCAGAAATTGCAGACTCTTTAATGCTGATTCTTTCACTGAAGATGCTATTCTCACTGATAATGCGTTCAGATCCTTTTGTAACCTTAGAAAATTGATTTAATTTTTGGCTTTTCTCTTTCTCTTTTTGTTAGTTCTTTTTTGGCTCATTTTGTCCCTTCCTCCTGTGCAGTTCACTTTTGAGTAATGAAATTTCCCATTTTACTAATATATATAAAAATTAGGATTCTGAAGCATTTTAATAGTGATCCATGCCAGCTTAGAGCTTTTTATACATATAATTGTGTGTTTTGTGAAATATGAGAAATGATGAATTGTTGGAATTTTTATATTATATATGTAGATGGATAGCATAACAGTGTCTGCAAGCTATGAAAAGGCGGCTAGGTTTCACTCATCCTAGTGCAGCACTCTTGATAGAAGGTGCAATGCAACTTGAGAACAGCATTTCAAATGATTTTCATGGGCATTTGAGCCCATAGAATCTATCCTAGGACGCTGACAGCTTAAGTTGAATATCTGGAGACTTTACTTGACATGTGTTGATGAATGTTAATACAAGAAACAGTGTTTCTGTTTCCTATGGCAACTTGGATCTTTGTTTAATGATTTTAAATTGGTTCAATGTTTTCAAAGATGCATTGTGAGACCTGCCTTTGTAGATACGCGAACTTGCTGTCCTACATGCATACATGTTGATGATGTTATGTTGTCAGTATTGTATTGTTTATAATTGCAGTATGTGCTGTAGCAACTAGCAACAAGTGGGCACATCACATTACCGTTTTGTATTCAGGCACTCTTCAAAAGTTACCCCAAAGCGCTCCTATCAAAATGATGCCACTCACCAACTCATTAATCATATAAAACCTAGATAACAATTTACTGGTGTCACGCCTTCCCTCAAAAGCATCTATAAAGTATTAGAAAGTGCACTTTTTTATTTTGGGTGTATTATATTATTGTGAGAAAATACAAAAGTAGCTAGTAGCCTTTTGTATTTTGATTATGCTTTCCTTTTAGTTTCTATAATTTTACATTGTTGTTTTCAATTTCTTTAGTTTGATTGGTTTGTAACATTAGTTTTTATAATTCTAAAAATACATATAAGTATCATGAGGCGCATTGGCGGAGTTAATTTTTTTGACATGTACTTTAACTCTTTTAATTTCTTTGTTGGTGTATACTTAATCTAGCATTTGTCTACTATGTTCTATTTAATTAAGTCATATATAAAAGAAAGTTTTCCTCTTACCTTTTGTTTTTAATTAGATTTGGTCAATTTATTTTCATGTCAATATGTTTTTACAATATCAGTAAAAGGGTTAATAGAGTTACATTGAAATTAACTCCGTCAGTGCTAGTTTATGGTTATTATATGAATTTTTTATAATTATAGGGATTATTTGAGTATAATACAATAAAAATATAAGCTAAAAACAAAACAAAACATAATGAAAGTACAGGAATCTACGGCTAATTGGATATCTTCTTCTTTAAAGGGTAGCAAAAGAGGTTAATTTCCTCATTAGCATTGAAGGCCATAGATACCCTCCTTGTGCAAAAATATTAGACGACTTCTTATATGTGATTGGGAGATTACATAGATCATATGTTCAGAGAAGTCAATAACTGTTGACTTCGCATGTCACCTCCATGATATAGATATACAAATGAATGTTATATCATAACTATCAACAAAGTATTAAGATATGTAGCATGATTCGATTAACATGCTTACAGGCCTTCTCTTTTATTAAAAGGAATAGAAAACACGTTGGTTGAGAATGAAACTTCTAACCATTTGCTTAAGAAACACGAGTCTCTGAAACATGGAAAATTAAATTTTATATAGAATTAAATTAATAGTGATATAAAAATTAATATATGCAATTCTAGAAGCAATTGAGATGCATGGAGGAGTTGTGATTGTGAGTGAAGTCAAAGGGAGCAATGCGTATTGCCATACAGATCATACGGTTTGACTGTTGAAAATGGTATTTCCAGCTGGCAGCAATATTATTATTTTTCTGTATTCATTCAAAGCACTATAATGTAAATATAATATAATTCAATAAACAACCTTTCAAGAGAGTGAAAGATTCCTACTTTTATTGGTTAAAAAGGAGAGAAAATTCATATTCAAGATTCTCACGTTACGGTAAATTATGGGACAGGTGATGCAGCATATTTTAATTATTGTTTAATTAATCACAAGTTACTTTCATTCTTTTTAACAAGATTTTAAAAATTAGACTGGACAATGAATCTGAAATATTAACGAGTCACGATTTTCATGTTTTAACCCCTTAAAGTGGTAGCTGAATCGATAACATAATAATTAAATAAAAATAATATTTAAATAAAAAGGGAGTCAAAACGGTACAACTATTTTGAATCTTGAGTTTTTATCTGAATCTTCAAGTCATCCAAGTCAAACTAGATCTATTACCAAAACGAGCCAAATAGTTAAACCAAACTACTCTCTTCTCTGGGTGACGGTTTGATCGGTCTCATTGTTTAGGTGATCAGGATCTAAAAACATTGCTTTTTAAATTGATTTTTTTTTTTCAATTCAATATATGTCTGACTGTATTTGCTTATTTTGTTTGCTGGATGCAGAGAGAGTCTGCCATTGACTGGAATCACAGAATAACATAAAAACACAAAATTGTATATTTTCTTGGAAGTCTCGGGTCGGATGAGAAAAATCATTTAGGTTCGGGTTCTTTTGGGTTTAAATATTAAGTCAAATTTGAATTGCCTTGGAAAAACTCTCCTATTTCTGTATTCCCAACATTCAAATTGGACGACTTGCATAAAAGATCAAGCATCTCAAACCATATCAAAGTGCCGCTTGTCTCGTTCATTAACAATCGAAAAATTAATCATTGACCTCGTAATTTTAACTTAATTGTAAGTTAATTTGTGAACTTTAATTTATCATAACTTAGTTTTTTTTCTTTTTTTTTTTGATTCCATTGCTTGGTATTTTGAAAAATTTGAACGTACCATCAACTTTCACATAGACTTATTTGAACTTCCCATTGTGTGAAACCGTTATCATCAATGGCAGGCCTATAAGCATATTAGGAATGCCTTTAACAAATTTATTTAATGCAATTACATATTTTAAGATTTGAATTTGAGGTCTTAGGATAAGTTAGTTCAACTCTCTTAACCAGTTGAATCAAGCGTCCCTCAGTTTATAATATCTTTATAATTTTAACTCAAATGCAACTCAATTCTTGAACTCCTCGAGGTAATTAAATCTATATAATTTTAACAATTTAAAATATTGATATTATATTTTAGAAAATAAAATTATAAAAATCAAAGTTATTTTTTAAAACTTATAAACTAGTGTTTAAAATTATAAAAAACTATTGAGATTGAGTTGTAATGAATTAAAGTTTAGAGATTGAGTAGAAATTAAGTTAAAATTATAAAGATTGAGTTGCAATTGAATTAAAATTATAGAGATTAAATGATTACTTTTTTTCTTAATATTTTTTGTTGGTTTTACTTTCATTTAGTTAGAGGATAGTTATTATCATAGTTTCAATTTCAAATCTTATATAAGAAAAAATTCAGCAATTGAAGGTTACCATAATAAGCACGACAATGTTCTAATGTGACATAATATTATTGGACATCAAATAGTTGTAAGGAACATTAAATAAAACATAAATTCATCATATTCCTTATACTTCTTGATTAGAAAAATTCAATTTTCATTTTTTTTAACTTCATGTAACTTATTGGAGTCATGTTTATGCCATTTACATTCGAATTCGAACTAACGTGTGTTTCATGCCCGTCTTTTTCTATCTGCATTCACATTCACATGAATTTCGAGATCCGAGACCAGGATTAAGGAAAAGTGTTTTCAGTTTTTATGTCGATAATAATTAAAAACTATTTTTAATGAACATTATTTAATAATCATTTTTTTTTTTAAATGTAGAACTAAGGTTTGTAGCAATTGGCAAGGGACAATGAGAATAAGGCGGTGTTTGTGGAAGGTGTGTTTTTGAGGTACTAATAATTAAATTAAATATTAAATAATTAATAAATATATGATTAAAAAAAATATTCTTTTCCTTTGTTTGGTGGTTTCTGCCGGACGAGACAACCTGCTACCAGTTGTTGCGGCTGTTTGAAGAGAGAGAAAGACTTTTTAAGAGAGAGAGAGAGAGAGAGAGAGAGAGAAGCACGCAGTAGCGGCATTTTTCTTTTTGATAGAGATGGCGACTGGTGCTTTGAAGATGGGATCTCACTCTCAGACTTAGACTTTCCACCACAATCATTCTCTCCTACTTCCCACATCTACTCTCTATTCTTCTTCTTCTTCTTCTCTGCATCGTCGTCTCTCTCTCTCTCCCCTCTTTCCAAGCCTTTTTCTACTTCAGGTACTCTTCTTACCTTACTTCTTACTCCTTACTTCTTACTCCTTTTTCCACTCTATTCTTCTTCATTAGCATCTCAGTATCTACATTTCGTGTTGGTAGAAGCATTGCGTTGTTACTATTCAAATGCGCTTTTGGGTTTGCCTTGATTTCCTGTCGCCTGTGAAATTGTTGTAGTCTTTTTTTTTTTTTTGGTTCCTGAGGATCACCATCGGATGTTAAGTTTCCGATATGGGTTATCTATATCTTCTTCAAAGTTTTCTGGTGGTGTATTTTGATGCTCACTGGGTGCGAGGGGGGCGGGGATATTAGCTTCTGGAAACAATTATACTTTTGAATAATGGGGTTTGTTTCTATTTTTCTCATTGCCTTACTTGGATCTCGGAAAAATACTTGAATTTTGAGGTTTCCCTTACTTGACTCGGAATGTTCAGAGATCTAATTGGGCCATGGGTCCTAATTTCATTTTTACGTCAGATCCACTTGCAGGTATCATTTGGCATACTTGCTTAGTTTGAAGTGATCGTGGAAGGACAAAAAGTGTATTCAATGGCCAAATTAGTGTCATATTTACATTCCTAGCAGAGTACAAACTTCTCACAATTCAGTAATTTGAGTCTAAAGGTCTATAAACTTCTAACTAATTGAGTAACTCTTCCACGGTTCCCTTTTTTATATTCAAAGATAATGTACATTTGAGCTGCTATCCTCAAATACAATTCAATATAGCAAATAAATAGCCTCTTAATCACATAATTTTGTTGGAACTTTCATGAGATTTTGCTAAAGAAGGAAAGAGGTGCACTCATTAGTATAGGTGACTGTAGAATTTCCTACTGGCTTACTTTATGTGCAATTGTTTGCCATAGATAAAGAAGGTAATTTCTTATTGTCATATCTCCTTTATTATTCTTCTCATTCTTGCCAAATATTCGGTGGTGCTATATTTTTTTGGGTGGTATTTATTGTTAGAAAATAAAAATTAGTGCCACTTTCTCCATCTTAATCATGATGGCTTTTAATTAATTTTAAATAACATTCTTTTTCAAATTTTGGGCTAATTCATGGGTATATTCAAAAGGGTAAACCGCTTCTTTTCTTCAAAATCTATCGATCCATTCAGTTATATTTAAAAGGGGAAATCCTCCCTCTCCACCCCAACTTTAATCCAGTGGCAAACGATCCTGTGTGGTTTCAAGTTTGCTAATTGACTTGGCTGAACTTTCAACACGCGGCAAAGAGGTGTAAAAGAAAGTAAATAAAGAGGATGAATTAAATTGGAGAATTGGTGCAACTTAACAAAATGTGCTGCTTTGATGCTAGGTGAACATTTTGTATATTCTTTTGCTTTTAAGCAACTAGTTTAGTTGGTGTTCATGAATTTCTCACTTCCAATGGAAGGGTTTATTTTCTTAATGTTGAATGTTGAAACTTAGAGGGTTATTTTCCAGTTTTTGTTGAAGAATCAGTTACCTTGGTTTTCTTTCTAAGTGAATTTAGGTGCGTCTGCTCATCGAAGTATGGAATTATGGTTACTTTATGTTTCAATTATCTCATTCATCTCTCCACTTGCAGTTTTGCTTTGTTACCTCTTTGTGGCAACATCAAGAAGGCTGATGGGTTCAAGATTCCCATCTCATAAGCTCAGCAATGGCCTATATGTGTCAGGCCGGCCTGAACAGCCGAAAGAAAAGGCACCAACAATGAGCTCTGTTGCCATGCCATATACTGGTGGTGACATCAAGAAGTCAGGAGAACTTGGGAAAATGTTTGATATCCCCATGGATGGTTCAAAATCTAGAAAATCTGGTCAGCTAGGCAGTGCTCCCTCAAGGACTGGATCATTCGCAGGCACTGCTTCACATTCTGGACCTATCAATGCGGCAGCTCGTGCTGGGTATACTACATCAGGTAATGTGGCTGGAGGCATGTCTACTTCAGCCTCAATGAAGAAAACCAACTCTGGTCCATTGAATAAACATGGGGAACCGGTGAAGAAGTTATCTGGACCTCAATCTGGTGGGGTCACACGCCAGAACTCTGGCTCAATTCCTCCAGTTCTTCCAACCACTGGTCTCATAACATCTGGTCCACTAAACTCATCTGGAGCTCCAAGGAAAGTATCGGGTCCATTAGAGTCCACAGGATCAATGAAATCTCACAGTTTCTCCGTTGCTCATAATCCAGCTGTGACCACTCTTAGCCTAGATGATGAATATTCCTTCAGGAGGAATTTCCCGAAGCCAATTTTGTGGTCTGTGATTCTGATCTTTGTTATGGGATTCATTGCCGGAGGCTTTATTCTTGGAGCTGTCCGCAATGCCATTCTTCTCATTGTAGTAGTAATTCTGTTTGCTGCTGTTGTTGCATTATTTACATGGAATAGTTGTTATGGGAGGGGAGGCATTGTCAGTTTCATTTCTCGTTATCCTGATGCTGAGCTTCGAACCGCTAAGAATGGGCAATTTGTGAAGGTTTCTGGGGTATGTAACTTAATTAACATGGACATATGTTTATATTGAATGATTTAGTTAGAAAATAGACATGGAAAATGTACACGACCATGAAGACGTAACCTAAACCACCTATCCCCTTGTTTGCTTTCTTGTTCAATGGTGGATAAGTGATTTTTATGTAACTGATTATCCACTGATAATCATACATGAGTGGTCGGCTGGAGTCTCTTTTGTAGGACTCTATCATTCTGGCAGTTGTTTATATTCTGGTGTTCAAAAGAGAGAAATTCACAATGATTTGTTGTGCCTTTTGAAGGTGGTTACCTGTGGTAATGTCCCTCTTGAGTCCTCCTTTCGGAAAGTCCCTAGATGTGTTTATACATCTACAAGCTTGCATGAATATCGAGGATGGGGTTCGAAACCTGCCAACCCAAATCATCACCGATTTACTTGGGGACTAAGATCAGCTGAGGTAATTGCAGTAATCTGTTGACTTTTTTTTTAAAAAAAAAGCATATGATGAGCTTCTCAAACAATTTTTCTTTTTCTTCTTTGGGCATATAAAGTGTAATGATGACTTTGTTCATGGAAATGATTAGATGTCTACCTTTCTGATTAATGCTTTTTTATTTTGTTAATATTTTCTCACCTTCTCCCTGTTGTTGTCAATCTCTCCTGTCACCTTAAACATGTTTTTTGTTTTTTTTTTTTGTTTTCTGTTTTGTTTATGTTTACCCTTTAAACCCTCAAAGTATGTTTACTAGGCGCCCTTTGATTTGTATCTTCATAAAAGGTGTTTCAAGATGGCCGCAAATGACTTTGTCATTTCCTGGCTTTTCTATCGTGTGTGTGGCACTAGTCTCTCCTGGGTTTGAAGTTCGATTTTCTTTTGGGTGTTTGCCTAATAGTAGAGCCTCTCTCCTCTTCCGAGTCCTCTATGATTACACAATGGTGTAAGTCTTCTTGGGATATGTATATTTAATAGTAGTTGAATATTGTTCAACGGATAGTGCGCTACTCGACTTCTCTCTGATTGTGCTCCAAGGGGAAGGAAGCCTGTGGTTTACTTTTATAGTGCTAAATTTTGGTTTTAGGGGCTTCTTCTGTGACCTATCTCCTTGGCTATTAGCCATTGAGAGAAAAAGAAGGTACACTATGTTATCCTTGATTCTTACTCCTGTATTAGCAAGTGTTACTAATTAGTGTTAAAAGGGCTCTTTCTTATTAGTGTTCCCTCCATATGATGGATGCACATCTCACTTGTATATGAGTATTAGTTGGCGCATTTGAGTTCATGTTATTTCTAGTTTTTGATGGTTTATGTCGTCCTTGATTGGAGCAGCTGTTGTGAGAGGCTGAGAGCATTCTGCTGCTGTTGTCAAAGTGTGTGTGATTTGGAAGTTTTGGGTTTAATTCTAGTCAACTCCAATTTATATCATATTATCATTTCGCATGCAGGCCAGACATCTTTTTTTCAGGATGTAGAGGATTTATAGTCTAAAAACAACAAATGATAGTGTTCCTTGAAAAAAAAATTTACCTTGTATTTTTATTTTAATGCAGAGGCATGTGGTGGATTTTTACATCTCTGATTTCCAGTCCGGATTAAGAGCATTAGTCAAAACAGGTTACGGTGCAAGGGTGACTCCTTATGTTGATGAGTCTGTCGCAATCGACATTAATCCATCCAATAAAGACATGTCCCCGGAGTTCCTCCGATGGTTGGGAGAGAGAAACCTTTCAAGTGACGATCGTGTAATGCGAATAAAAGAAGGGTATAGTACTTCCTCCTGCTAAAAAAGTTGAAATTTGTCTCGTTATTCATCAATACAAAGGCAAACTGCTACAGTAGATTGATATTTGACACCTCATCAGTAACATCCATTGGTGGTAGTTAAAACCTGTTGTGTTCTATGTGCCAAAATATGAATATCTATCCCTGGATGAACAAGAAGTTCTGATGAGACTGCCATTACTATTACTTGTGTAGGTATATCAAAGAAGGAAGCACAGTAAGTGTAATGGGGGTGGTTCAGAGAAATGAGAATGTGCTTATGATTGTTCCTCCTTCTGAGCCTTTGAACACTGGATGCCAATGGGCTAAATGTATATTTCCTTCAAATCTTGAAGGTATTGTTTTGAGATGTGAGGATACATCAAAGATTGATGTCATTCCAGTGTAGTTATATGTTAAAAAGTGCACCAGACAACTGTTAGGTATTCTTCTCCCTCTTGCGAAACAAAAGAGAGAAACATTTTGTTCCGATACCAGAAGTTGATGGTGATGGTGGTTGATGTTGTTGTTTGTAAGTGTGATGATGACTCTATAGATGACGTCGATGGTTTGGGGCCTTTTTTTTTTGGTTTTCACACTCAACTCGTAGTTTGTTGTATAGCTAATGTAAGTTCTTATTCTTTTAGTTATTGTATTTTTTCCCCTTGAGGATTTTGCATTTTTTATGGATGTTGTTGGTTCATATAATGACAAGTTGTCTTCAGAGGAACTTGGTGCTTTTTGTTTTCCCCCAATTGTGAAGGGAATCTTTGGTGCATTCTTTTTTAATTTTAACAGCATGTTAGACATGTTCTTGGCTGCTTGTGAATGCTATGACTATTAAAATATTAAATATTGATGGGCTATATTCTATTTGACATAATTTTCTTTTTTCTTTTTGTGTCAAATCAACATAAATGGATTTTTTATTTTGGGAGGATTTTGGTATAGGTAATTTCAAATCAAGATTAATAGAATCTAAAAATACATTACAGAACAAAGAAATTAAATTTACAATAAGAAAAACATAATTATTAATCTTTATAATTTTATTAGTTTTTGTTTTTAGTCGTCGTAGATTTTTTCAGTGTTTTTAATCTTAATAATTTTAGTAAGATTGGATGATATGTGTTTTTAAAATCTCTAAAGATGTTAAATTATATCAACTATAACGACTAGAAAAATTATAGGAATTAAAAACAAAACTTGATAAAATGATATAAATTAATGATTGTGTTTTCTCTTTAAAATATATTTTAATAAGAAATGAGGGTTTTAGAAGTGCATTTCATATTTTAACAAGACTGAATTGTACAATGTATTGTTAAGAAGTTTCCCTCATAGATTTACAAGTATACATTGCGCAAATGACAAAGTTATATTAGGGGTGTTAACAAGTTTATCTCACATAGTAACAAGTTATATAAAAGATATTGTTAACAAATTCTGCACTGCAAGTAAATGAATAAATACGCATTAGTAAAATGATTAGTTAAATTAATGTCTTAACAAGTTTACTTTACTTTTCTTTTTTCTCCCAATTTAAATACTTCATTAAAAAAAAAAAAAACCAAGAAGGGGAACTTTACAAAACCAGAACAAACAGAAAGTAAGAAACAACGAAACATCAACAGGGAAACAAAAAGCAGAAACATCTAAAGCGAAAGCAACAGTAGCAAACAAATCATCCACCATCATCCGAAGTACATTTGAAGACTTCACGCTACTGATGACATCCTTGGTTAGGAGATCAAACAAAAGAAGTGGTGGTAACAAAACCCATCTTATCGGACTCATCTCCTTCAGGACAAAAGCTGTAACAAAATCAGTTGCACAATTACCTTCATGTGTTGCAAAGACTGCAGTAAACCTCAGTGTTGGTTGCTATTATTAGATTTCTCAAATTAAGTATGATTAAGGATAGTATACCTTACCAAAATAGCTTAAGCCATTTTGGTTAAATACTTCTTAAACTTATATATCTATATATACGATTTATCTTCTAATAGCCATCAAAGCTAAAATGTCCTCAATAATACCTCGATTCCTCCAATCAAATAGATTTGATTGACCTTTTAAGATACTTGTAAAGAGGAACATATGATTCAAAAATGACTTTATCACTGCTCAAATCATGAGCCAGCATCAGGGCATGTTTTAAAGCCAATGTTTCACTTATAAAGGCAGATAATGATTTAACTCTGTCAATAAAAGCCCAGACAAAATGCCCAGTATCATCACGGCAAACGATACCAATGGAAGCATGTCTTCACCAAGTCCATTTTATATTGTACTAAGTTGTTAACCAGACACATTTATGCAATGACAACTTAATTTAAGATTTTTTAACAAGTTCACTTCATATTTTAAAAAATAAATAGGATTTTAGTCATTTTCTATCAAAACATATTTTCAATTTAGTGTCTTAATTTTGTAGTGTATTTTTAGATTCTATTTGTCCTGATTTAAAATTAAATTCTTATTAAAATTTAATTTATTGAAATTTTCCCTTTTATACTCATATTCATAACTAAATCTCGTGCTAAATACTTCTAACTTATTTTTAAAATTACAATATACTTGCTCTAATTTGAGAAAAGAAAAGCACATGAAGTATATAATTTTAAATAATTAAGTTTTCCCTTTGTGTATTTATCCAAGGCTCGGGTTCTTTTATTTGAACAAGTCAGATCAGATTTTAATAATACAGACTAATCTATGCTTTAAAAACTATCAAGTTTGAATTATCAAATTCAATGATTTAGATTTGCAATATTCTCCCCATTCCAATGGAGAGAACTCATTCATTTATGTTAATACATACCTTTTATTTTATTTAATTAACTTGGTAAATCAAACGATTTTTATGAATAGTAATTATGATTCTAGAAAAATAATAAAATTTTTAGATTCTTGGACAAAATATAATAATAATTTCTTAGATTTAATGCAAATAATTAGTTTTATGATAAACAATTTTCCCTTAATCTTTAAAAATGTTATGGCCAACTATGATAAATTCGAGAAAAAAAAGTTAAACAAGCTTTAATTCAAAAAAAATCTTTGAATTTTAACAACTTAAATCAAAAGGTTTATTTGCATGGACTAATTTAATACTTTTAGAATAAAAAAAATGATAAATTGAGTTAACTTGGAAAAATTTTCCTAACAAGTTTCTTAGAGTAAAATACATTGACCTCCTTTATATTTTATTTTAATTACATATACCCTCTCTATTTTTAAAACTTACATGAATTTCCCCTCCCTTCTACTTTTAAAACTTAATTTCTATCCATGCAACCCTTAGTTGTCCGTTAAGTTACATATATGAGATTGAAATGCCCTTATTTTTATAAATGTTATTTAAAAATTATTTTAAGTTTTTTTAAAAATTAATGGATATATTTTTTACTTTTTTATTCTTATTTAAATTTGGTTGGTTATGCAATCTTATTTATTTAATATATTTTTAGGAAGAATGACAAATAAATCCCTCTGAAATAGGAGAATGATAATATGATCCTATGAAATGTGATAATGCCTTTTAAGTTTGTAAGGACCTAATTGTCATTAAATTTTTTGATGAAATAACAAAAATACTCCTTAATTTAAAAAGTGCAACAAAGTTTTTTTTTTGTTCACGACTTTAGTTATGAAATTTATAACTCTAGTTTAGCAAATGATTAAAGTAGTTTAGGTATTTACAATTTTCTCTCAATTTTTCTTCAATAAGCAAAGGTGTAATAAAGTTTTTTACATTCACAACTTTAGTTATGAAATTTACAAACTCCGATTCAATAAATGATTAAATTGATTTAGGCATTCATAACTTTCTTTATCATCTTTTTTTAATCAACAAAGTGCAACAAAGGTTTTTTTTTTTTCATTTACAACCTTGGTTCTAGAATTTACAAGTCTAATTTAGTAAAAAAAAAATAAAGTAGTTTAGTCATTTACAACTTTCTCTAACCATTTTTCTTCAATCAATAAAGTACAACAAAGTTTTTTCATTCACAACTTTGGTTCTAAAATTCACAACTTTGGTTCAATATATAATTAAAGTATAACAAAGTTTTTTTCGTTCACAACTTTAGTTTTATAATTCAAAGTTTGATTTAGTAAATAACTAAAGTGGTTTAGACATTTGTAATTTTCTCTCATAATTTTTCTTCATTTTTTTAAATTAAGGGGTATTTTTATCATTTCATTAAAAATTTTAATGACAAATAAATCCCTTGGGATTTAGAAGGTATTATCACATTTTACGGGATTAAATTATCATTTTCCTAGCTATCTTAAGAGGAATTTATTTATCATTCTCCCTATTTTTTATTCTTATGTTTATTTGTTGGGAAAAAGTAAATTTAAAAAATTTTAAAAATAAGTTGACTAAAATAATATTTCCTTCAAACTGTATGTAAAAAAACTTAATGAAATAGGGATTTAATATAATAGGAGATAAATTATCAATATAATTTATGCTTATTTTTCTATAAATTATATATTTTAATGCAATATTTTAGAATATTTATTAAAATATTGTAACATTTAATTATTTAAATCTCATTAAATTGGGGTAACTTAATAATTTTAAATTTTTTAACACAATTACAAACTAAACATTAAGTATTTTAAAATATTTAACAGGATATTCTTAATGATGTTAAAAATTAAATTAACGTGTAGGTTTCAAAAATAGAAAAAAGGATTTTATAATTTTAACAAAATAGAAGAAAGGTGAGTGTATTATTCAATTTGTTACCATTCAATTTAATCATTTTTTATATAAATATTAAATTCCAGCCGTGAAGATTTTCATATTATAATTTGAATTTTTTTTTTAAATCATCAGAGCATCAAACAATGAGTGATATTGTGATAATGAATGGACATGTCACGTGAGTCAAACGAGGCATGGAAAACGAAAGGATAAATAATTAAAGAGTTAAAGGTTAAAAAATATTCTCAAAGTATGTACAAGGCCACCAATAATTCTAAACTTAATTATAAATTATTTATAATTTTTAATTTTAAAATTTTTTTGTTCCATTACTTGCAGTTTTATCCGTTTAGTTTTTCCGTTAGCGGGCCACGATTCAATTTTTAAATACTTTCATTTTTTCCTTCCTCGCTCTCTCTCCTCCCCTACTCTCTCCCTCTCTCACCCGCCCTCTCCTTCTCTGATTTCTGGACCCCTTCCTTCCTTCACTCACTTTTGCCCAGCTTCATCATCATGCATGTCCACAGTGCATCATCATCTCTACTCGCACTCTCATTTCCACCATGATAAGTTTGTGCTTAAGACTCAAGGTTGTCGATCTGTGCTTGCACTCTCATGTACGTGAATGGGAAGAGAAAGAGGAAATGAAGGAGAGAGAGGGAATGGAGAAACCTATATCAGGTCCGACGAGGATGAGGGGGATGGCACACACTTCCTCTCTCCTCCACTCCTCACTGAACGAGTTCTCTCTCTCGTTCACAGTCACACTCCCTGTTCACGGTACAGACTCCCTGTTTGTGCACACACACTCTATGCACGAGGCGAACGTGACGCCACATGGGGTGGCAATGGAGATGCTGGTGGCGAGGTACAGGAGGTTTGGGAATGTGAATGAGGCCATGAGGGAGAGAGAGAGGGAGAAGAGGGGGAGAGAGATGAAGAGTGTGAGAAACGCAGTGCATGCATGTGTGTTCAACCTGACCAAGGAGGCTAGTGGCAGTGTAAGCAAGCGTGCGTGGGTTCAACCCGACCAAGGAGGCATCCATGCTCATCCTGTCCAGCCCATCCACGGCAGTCGCCGGAGTTGTCATGGTGTTGGTGAGGATGAGTACCAAAGAGGGGAGGGAGAGAGGACGAGACGGGGGGGGGAGAGAGAAAGTGAAGGAGAGAGAGGGAAGACTGAGATTGAATGGAGGAGAGAGAGAGAGGAAGAGCGAGAGCGAGAGTGAGAGACGAGAAGGTTGAGAGGGAGGGGACGATGTGTAGAGAGAGGGACTGAGGAGAGAGAAGGAGGATAGAGAGAGGAAAGAGAGGAAGAGCGGGAGTGAGAGACGAGAAGGTTGAGAGGGAGGGGACGATGTGCAGAGAGAGGAGAATTTAAAAAGAAAAACGTGGGGCCCATAAAAAATATTTTATAATAAAAAATTTAAAAAATTCATATGTGAGACTCACTTAATCAAATTATTAGGCAAATTAACGTCAGGGTAACAAAGTAAAAAATTTTTAAAATCGAGAGATGCAAATAACTTATAATTAAATTTAAAATTATTTGTGATTTTTTATATATTTTAATAATATTTTTTACCTTTAACCCAACAATCCAGTGTGTGTGACATGAGTAAAATAAATCAAGAGGGGCGGCAATGATTAATGGCCTTGTATTTGATTCAGTATTTCGTATCTTAATTCCTTTTTATTAACCAATATCCATTTCAATTTTTTTTATAATTATCTGACTGAGCTAAATTTGAGTTCAAGTATTGTCGGTTCAATTAAGAATAATTTTCCTAAACTCATTTTTTATATCTACACATACTTAAACTTTATGCCTTGTACTTTAGTAACCATAATCTCTTTTACTATTTTACTTTTATTTTTTAATACTAATGTGAGTTTTTAAAATAAAGTACTCAACACTTTTTATTGTAAGAGAAATTATACGACCTTATATTTATTCAACTAGGCAAATTTTTCTTTTTCAAAAAAACAAGTCTTTTTCCACCCGAAAAGTAAATCTCATTCACAATACAAGTGTGAGGAATAAAAATAAATAAATTATAAGAGTCAACCAACATGACAAAGTTGATATTTGAAAATTATGGTGAACTTTGGTTGTGATCTTAAAAAAATGTGTCATTAATGCAATAATGAAGTGTTTATCTAATAATAGTAAGAAATTAAATCAAAGCTTATCACAACCTAATAATTAATTTTTTAATAAAAAACTATAAAAAAATTAGAATTAAGAATCATTTTTATTCTTGAAGTCTTTGCTTAGTGGGCATTTTAAATTTTATCTTGGGTCATTTTTACTCTCTAAACGTTTAAAAACCCATCCGTTCTGTCACGCCTAGACAGTTAAATGTCACTTTTGACTTTGAAATATTTGTATAAGAACATTTGGTATCCTAATCTCAATTCTAAGGCATTTCTCTCTTTCACCATTAAAAAAAACCATGTGCATCTTGCCGTTAATGCGCCACAAATAGACGTTAATTTGAGTTAATGGTTCCACACGTGTACACTTGGCATCCAAAATGGATTTTTACATTCATTACTAATTCTTGTTATAAATACTTAAAACTGGGAAGTAAATGTCAATCACAAAAGGAAATCACAAGAGTCAATGGTTAAAAAAAGAAAAAAAAGAAAGAGATTGCAAGAGTCTACCAACGTGACAAAATTGATATTTGAAAATTATGGTGAACTTTGGTTAAGATCTTGAAGAAAATGTGTCATTAATGTGATAATGAAATGTATATTATCATATACCAAGTGTGTATGTACATACCAATGAATTTAATTAAACACAGTTTAAACCTTAAATTTTTATAAATTTTAAAAAATACCCTTCTTTAAAAAGAAAGGGGGGAAGGAAATTTATCTACGGAGTGAAATCATGAAAGATAATATTGAAATACTAATCGTTGATAATATTTATTTTAAATGTTTTATATTTTAGAATGCTAAATTATATCTAAAAAGATCTTATAAAATGAAATAGAAGAAGCATTTTTTCCATTTCAAAATGGAACACTAAGGCAAAAAGGAGCATTTTTCATTTATACAATGGCAAAAAAAGCACATTTGATCCTCTAATTTTATATAAATTTAATTTGAGTCTTTAATTTTGTAAAATGTTTTTTTTAATCATAATCATAACAGTTTGTTATGATGATTTTTTATATCAGTCATTATTATTTTAAAAACTAAATTTAATGTGTCAATAGTTGAAAATATCTTATCAACATTTAAAAGTTTAGTATTAACATTTTTGTTAATAAAATTAATGATAATTAAAGCCAAAGACTGATAAAATGTTCTATAAAATTAAGGAACAGAAATAAAATCCATGCCAGATAAATGTTATTGTACTTTGTTTTTGTTAGTTACACATATTTCATATTAAAGTTAATCTTCTTTAAAATACAATTGAGTATTAAGTATATTATTGATAAACAGGCCAACCTACTATGGGTTGCAGGTTGGCCTGTTACTAGTAACGAGTTGGCCAGGGTAGGTTGCAAAGGCCTGTTTCTTGACAAGCTGGTCTTTTTTCAACCGGGGCTTGCTAAAATGAATTGGTGGGACAATAAACTTTTCTTTTAAAAAAATTCCTATTGTTTTAGAACTGTAAATCTGCTATTTTGTATGTTTTTTAAACTTTACATGAAATCAAATTTTTTTCCTTAAAATTAATTATCCAAACAATAATAAAACTCCTTCTAAATCATTAAAACACATTTCAAATTTCAAATCTATTTATTAATGGTAATTACCTATCATTTATATAGTTGAAAAGCTTAGATGAGTTATGACTATTAATTATCTGCCACGTCATAACATGCATTCCATGCGAGGATTTGATCCTCTAATGAAGTCCAAGTCTGTAGAATTTTAGCTTTGAAATTTTTATTACCGTTGTGTATTTTTTTATTTGTTGATATCTAAAATTGTTACGTACAGTTTCTGAAATCAAAGAAAAAAAAATAGAAAAACAACAATATGCTTGACTTACCTAAAATCAAAGTATGAAGAAAATGCAACCACGCAGAACCAGCCATTTAGAGCAACACCCACCAAACAATGGAAGAAGAAGAACCAAATTCTAGAGAAGCAATTGAAGAGAAGAAGACATGGAAAAAGAAAAAACCATAAATAGAGAAGAATAAATGGAGAAAAGACAAATGGAGAAGAAGAAAGGGAGAGCCACAACAAAAATCAGAGAAACCCACAGTACCTTGGAAGAAGACGAATGGTGGTACGGCAGCGACGAAAATTCCGAGCAATGGTGACGGCGAAAGTGACGGCCAGCGATGCAGCACTTATAGACGGCGACAGCAGCTTGAACGGACGGCAATGGCTGACAAATGGTCTTCGAAGGCAATGGAATCGGGTGAGAGCAAGAGAGAGAAACTGATGAATGGGAGGGGAATTGACATTTGGATCAGGTTCTCACGGAATTTTAATTCAGTAATTGTATTTAATATAGATATTTATTGTAACATTTAAATTATTAAAATTCAAATTAATCATTCAAAGTAATCAAGTCACTTATTTATTACACTTAAGTGGGACATGGATTCAGAATGATTAATTTAAATTTCAATGATTTAAATACTACATGCATTCAATATTTATAATAAATACAGTTATTAAATTTAAATATGTTCTTAGAAGATTTGCCATGCTGGTTATTAGGATAACTGATGTGGTAAGTAGTCTAAAATAACTGACATTAAAACAAAAGCATTTTTACTGTTTTAAAAATTAACATTCTACGTTGGTTAGTGTCATAATCAATGTGAAAACTCTTTTTAATATTGGTTAAACTCAAAATTAACTTAAAAATTTTTTCACTTAATTATAAATAAGCTACCGCTTTTTTTTTTGTTGTGGTTTTTTGTATAACCGACATTAAAAGATTAATTTTATTATAGTGAATTAGAATGAATCAAAGGTTTATAGGTAGAGAGACTCGCATCTGTACTAGCAGCATCAACACAATATCGGTAGTCATACTTGGAGAAAATTGAAATCAGTGATTAAAGCCAAAAAAACTCGTTTACACCTTAACTTCCCTTTCTATAATCATATATATACCTATTAAACCAAATATTTTTTAATTTGTTATAATCAAAATTAAGATTCAACATATTAAAGAAATTAGACAACCTTATATTTATTTAACTAGGCAATTTTTTCTTTGTTAAAAATACAAGTCGTTTTCTTCTCGGAAAGTTAATCTCATTCACAATAGGAAATTACAAGAGTTAGCAATGAAAATAAGAAAAAAATAATAATAAAATTTTTTTGAATTATGTAAATGATATTTTAGTCCCTTGAAATGTCGTAATTTTTCTAAAGTTTTAAAAGACTTTTCTGTTATTAAGAAATTAATATAAATGACTAAATTATCCTTAATTCAAATATCAATTATTATTCACAAGTTTTATTTTAAGATTTACAAATTTTCTTCTCAAAATCACAAGAAATTAATAGTAATTTATAAGTTTGCATTTAAAATCATGATATTCTTCAAGTGTTGTAAATATCAATTGCTATTCACAAGTTTTATTCTAAGATTCATAACTTTTTTTTAAAAAAAAATCATAGGAATTCAACAGCAATTTATAAATTTAAATTAAGGACAATTTAGTTATTTATATTAATTTCTTAATTATAGAAATTTTTTTAAGAACTTCAAGAAAATTATGACATTTCAAAGGACCAAATGTCACTTATATAATTTGAAAGGATTTCATTATCATTTTTTAATAAAAATAAATAAATTACAAGAGTCAACTAACATGAGAAAAATAATATTTAAAAATTAAGGTGAACTTTGGTTATAATCTTAAAGAAAGTATATCATTTAATGTGATAATGAAGTGTATAACTATTAATAGTAAGAAATTGAATTGAAGCTTATCAAAACCCAATAATTAATTTTTTTTAAATAAAAACTATGAAGATTTGAAAGTTAAAGGTCATTTTTATTCTCAAAATATTTACTTAGTGAATGTCTTGAACTCTATTTTGGATGATTTTCCTTCATAAACATTTAAATATCCATCCATTTCTACCATGCCCAGTCAATTAAAGGTTACTTGTGCCTTTAAAATAATTGTTTAGGAATATTTTGTGTCTTAAACTCAATTCTAAGTTAGTTCCCTCCTTAACCCTCCATTTGGATGGGAAGAAAAGCTAAAAGGAAAGAAAATGAAAGGAAGAGAAAACTGAAAAGAAAATATTATTACTTCTTCTATTTGGATGGATAGAAGAAAATAGGAAGAAAGAAAATGAACAGATATCACAATGACTATAATGTCCTTATATTAAAATATATCATATTTTATGTAATTATATTTGTAAAAATAAATTGAAAGCTGAAATTATGTTAAAATTAACATAATAAAATTGATTTATAATCAAATTATTTGTTAAAAATGTATTTTTATATTATACTTTAAAATCAAATAATTTAGTAAAAATATGTTATTTTCACATTTTAAAATCAAAAGTGGGTATTGATAAAATAAAACATGGTACTTATAGAAACAAAATCTCTAATGCATTGATAATGAAATATTATAAACACTATGGTCAAGTTATTAATACATCATAAACATCATGACACAATATATATGTTCACTAAACAAAAAACACCAACATGTCCAAAAAGCATGAAATAATATATATGTTCTCTAAGAAAAAAAGGCCAACATGTCACCACAAATTAAAAATACTACTATCTATAAATTAAAAAAGTCTAACCCCATGTCTACACTTCCTTCATTGAACTCCAGCTTTGGTCATCATATTGAGTAATGTCTGTAATCGCCTGTGTTGTGGAATCCCAAAGAAAGTTCTCTTACATTTCCCATCATCACATAAGAAGAAGTAACATTTTTCTTTATTCTCTTCAAGTACTCCAATCTCCTTAATTGCAGCCCACACTTCCTCTTTACTATGATGATGAGGCCTACTCTTTTCAAGTATTAAAAAGCCCTTCTTAGCAACTTGAGCTTGCTTCTCAGCAGCTCAAGCCTACCTCTCAGAAGCTTGAAGCCTACCTCAGCAACATTATTTCCATCTCACATGACATCAATTAGTTTCATTATTCCTATTGTCATTTTTTCACACTTTTCTTCAATAGCTTCAACCATTGAAGCCTTACATTTCTATCCTTTGCCTGATATAGTTCCTACTAATGCCCTACATGTTGGGCTATACTTCAAATTAATTGGTGAATTTAGTGATTCATGTTAATAATTATAATTAGTTGCATCTGTAATAGAGTCATTTAATTGATTGCTCTCTTGCTCCCATTGGGCAACCCTTTCCTTAACACTTTTAATATATTTTCTCGTTGCCCTATCTACACTGAATAGCTCAAATAATTTGTGGTAATGTAATACAGGTGTATTCTTCTACTTTCTTGGATTTGGCTTTTTCCACAAACACAAAAGGAGATATAGCTTCATAAATAGACTACTCATCTTAATCAAATCATCTAAATATTCATTCCATTAACATAAATAGATTATTCACCTCGATCAAATCATTCCAAATTTAATTATCTACTTCAAACAATTTTGTGATAGGACTCCATGAGAATCCGCTCAATCTATTAAATAAATTATAAAGATCTAAAAATTGTTGTGATAATGTCTTCTTTCTATTCTTCAAATGTTATTTTGTAATGTGAGACCCAAAGAAATTATTAAGAGTTTCCACCATATTATCATATGCAAATGTTGAAAATGTGCCGTCAGGACTATTTCCTTTCATTGTCTCTTCCAATAAGGCATTAATGAATTTTTCATCCATTTCAGAAGTCCAACACAAATTGTCCTTTATTGATTCCTTCCTTTTTGGTGCCATTGTTCAATCTATATAAAAATTATGCACACATGATTTAAGAAGCAAACAATTATTATAATCAAGTAGTAAGCAATTGTTCAAATGCTTAATTTATAAAATAAATATCATCATACTCCAACTAATACAAGGCCAACACATACTTCAAACTAATACATTGAACATCTACTTTCAAGTAATATAAGGCAACATCTTAAGCAAATAGTTCAAATCACAATCTATGATTCATATAGGTTAAATAGTCATGCCACATATGAGCTGCTATGTTATCTTTTAAATTTGATCCTTGTCTATAGTCGTCCTCTTAATTGGATGCAACTTGATCATCCATGTCATGATTGCATGATAATTTATGATCAACTTGAGCTAATAGATTCTCATCATGGTCAACACCCATCAAGTAATTGTGTATTATGCAACAAGCTATCACAATGTCAACCATAGTCTCAAAAGTATAACGTGGCTCGGTGCCACTACTGATTGTGGGAAATCATTTTTTCCAAACACCAAATGTTCTTTCAATAATATTTCTCAATGATGCATGTTTATGGTTGAAAATTTCTCTTACAGTTTGTGGTAATCTTGTTGAATATTCCTTCAAATGATATTAGACTCCTTTGTAAGGTGTCATTAGACCATGTTTGAGTGGGAAGCCAGCATCCCTAAGATAAAATTTTCCTAAACAACATAAATTAATCCATAAGAATTTTTAGTCAATAAAAAAAATAATATTTTATAATATATAATAGCTACTTATACACATAGGGAAATTATAAGTTTACCCTCTCTTAATAAAGCATTTTTTAATATTCTTGAATCTGTGGCTGGTCCTTCCCACTCGGCCAATACATAAATAAATTTCATATCAAATGAATATGAAGCAAATACATTTTGATTGGGGTAATCTTTACGTCCTCAAAATTGACTAGCTTCTTCTCTAGGTACTTTTTCTCGAACATGAGTTCCATTTATAGCTCCAATGTAAATGGTGTTATTTATATATGCACAATAACAAATTTTTAACAGTATGCACAAATATAAAAACATACCTTAAAATACGGGTAAAATCTTTCATTAGTTAGAATTTCAGGAGGAACTATTGACCTAGAGGGTTACACAAGATATTTAGCCTTAATAGAAATAATAGCTCGTAATACATTATGAAAATGACCACTAATAGTCTCCTCAAATCGGCTAAAGAAAAAAGCCATTGTTCTATTTTGACATTATGTCTTAATATGTGAAGAAATTTTGCCACTTGCTCTTCAACTGTAACATTTTAAGAATCCTTAATTATGCCAGTATTTTGATGTTTCTCACATAACTGCAAAAATACTTGTGGTCCTATGTGAAGAACATCATGACATTGTTCTGTATCTTGTAATTTTTGCATGAATATTCTCCTCATGCTCTCCTTTTGAACATGACCATCACTTATAGGCTTATTAAATAGTCTTAAAATCTTTTCGAACAAATAAATCATATGTACAATCATACAAACAATTTGTACAATACACATACGCCTATGACGTTCCCAATTTGTAACGTAAGGCTCAAGTCTATAGAACCTCCATTAGCCACTTCAAAATCAATCAACCTTTTAACTTCAAACTCAAAATTCATAATTTCTCTCTCAATATCCTTGATCATTCCTTCACTATTATGGTTTCATTTATATAACAATTCAAAACCACACAGCCATACATTGATACAAAGTTGCAATGAGTATGTAAAAAGTAACTTAGAATATGGTGGCCATGAACTAATTAGTTGCTATGATATGAGCTTTCATAACTAAGTAATTTATGCTTTTCTTTTTCAGTCTGGTGCTTGCACTTTGAATAGGACATTGTAATATTGTTCAAGTTATTTGTTCCAAAGATACAATAAATAAAGAACCAAGAATTATATAAAGCATGAAATTATAGAAGGTAGAGATGAAGGAACGAAGAGGGAGAGAGGATAGGAAAGAATTGAAGAAGAAATAGTAAGAAGAACTAAAGCCTTATCCAAGAAGGCTTTGAGAAAGGATAAAAGAAATGAGTGAGCCATTAAAGGGCTGGAGTGTGCAAAGATTAAGAAAACCTCAAAACTTAGATATTGCACTTTTGCATGTGTAGCATTGCACAAAATGACAATTGCAATTTCATGTGTTGTGCATCTCATTGCACTTTCAAGTACCAACAACTATGGATGATGATTTTCTCAAAATGAATTTTTGTTTAATTTGCCATTGATGTTTTTTTTCTTCTTTCAAGTCATCGAAGATGTATTTATGAAGTAATTTTTTTTCAATAAAAATTCTAAGTTAACTAAATGATGCTTTTTGGTTGAGCCACTTCATACTTTCTATCGTACGGACATAGCCTCTTAAATGAATGCCAAGGGGCATATGCTTTACCACCCTCCTCTTTTTCTTTTGAAGGTAAGGTGAAAAAAAGGTTGAGGTATTTTTATTTGTCTTGGTAAGATAGGGCTGGTTTATATCAATTTATCTAAGCAATAATTTTAATGGGGTTTGTGACCATAAACAAAAGGTACTCTTATCAGATTTATATAAATAAATCATGAACAAGAGGTGTCTTGTACTCAATCACTCATTCCATTCTAATTAAATAAAGCATGAACAAGAGGTACTCTTGATAGATTTATATAAATATAATATCTCCACATTAGGCATAATAAAAATAAAAAAAGGCCAAATGATATGAATGATTATGGAAACTAGTTATTTATTGATGTAGTTAAGAAGCAAAATATCCCAATCTAAGTGGTTTCCCTTTGGTTTTCAGAATCTTTCCCAACTTGTATCAATCAACTACGATTTAATATAGAACAACATCTTATATTAGATTAAAATAATTCTAATATAGAATTTATAGATCTATGAAAAAACTTCATACTAGTCAGGTATGAAGAACAGAACAACACATAATCCAATATCATGAAACTAATGTAGCAAAATCATTCATTACTTCTATATTATCCTAAGAAGACAAAAGGATTGAGAAGTAAAAAGAATTGAGCACTCCCTCTTGTAAATATTGCTGAATGGTTTAAAATGGAACGGAAAAAATTATGAGGTGGAACTCAAACTGATAATCTGCAGAATTTCTATCTTGCTATTTGTTCCCTTGTTCATTAAATCAAAATTTCACAAACATGGGTAGAATAGATGCGTTAAATGTTAAAGAAACAAGAATGAAAATGATGGTAAGAAATACACTACAGATACGAGAATTTATCAAACTAGACAGGGATGAAGACGATGTTGAAGAAGAGGAAGAACTAACCTTGATGAGTCCAGGAGTTGCAGCGAGAGCATGCCGAAGAAGAAGAAGAAGCCATTGATGAAAATTATGCTTTAGCTGGGTCAGTCAAATATGAGAGCCTCTTAAGCTGAGACACGCGAAAGGAAATAGATAGGAGTCTGAGCCCGAAACAGATGAGAGGAAGAGGGAGGGTAGATGCTGGAAAAAAAAATTACTCCCAAAATCTCTTCACTTTTAGAGAGAAAAGTTGGAAGGAAAATATAATGGGTCTTACATCCTATTTTCTTCTCACATTTTCTTTTCTCTCATTTTTTCTTTCCTATCCAAATAGGAAAAAAATGTTTTTCTCCTATTTTCTTCCCATATTTTCTTTCCTCTTATATTTTCTTTCAAACCAAACAGAGCATAAACATTAAAAAAACTAACACTTGTCCTGCCATTAACACATCACAAATGGACGTTAATTTAAATTAGTAGATTCCACACACATATATGTGGCATCCAAGTGGATGATCAATCAAAAATTTAAATTTAAATAAATAAATAAATAAATAAATATATATATATATATATATATGTCTTTCATATCACATTCATAAATTAAATTAGAAAAAGTGACCTTAGTAATTTTTGATCAAATCTACTTAGATGCCACCTATATATTTTTAGTCAAAAAAGTTGGTTAATGGGCAAATTGATTATAGGTAGACAAATGTGTTTTTAAACACTTAGGAGAATTTTGACCTAAAATCGAGTTCAAAACACTTGCAGATCCTGAACAAATACTTTAAAGGAAAAATGACCTTTAACTCAACATTATAATCTAAACCAACCATTGTTATTAGGGCTGTACATGGGCAGTGTCAGGTAGGGCAGCCCATTAACATGATGCCCTGCCCTAAATGTCTTCGAATAAAAAAACTATGCCTAAAGCTCGACCCTACCCGAAAGATGCCTGACTTTAGAGGGGCCGGGCAGGGTCGGGCAGGGATCAGGCACCTTGGGCATGGTCTCCAGCCTTGTCCTGCCGAAACAAAGAATCAGAACCATCCATACAAATCTGATATACACTATAGCAGATTAATTATTTCCATCAATAAATCACTTCAAGCTCTTATTTTAAAGGTAACAGATTGTTAAATATCACTAGCAAAAATATTATGGTGTCATCAAAAAACTTAATGGCAAAGAAAATATGGAAGGAATTTTTCATGCAAGTCACAAGTGCTGTCCAGTTTCAAATTCTAAGGAATATGGAAATATTTAACCTAAGGTTTACAAACTTGATCATCAAGGCACTTAAAAAAAAGGAACGAGTGAGGAGTGAAGTGAAGATAAACAATTAAACACCATTTATGTCCCCATCAAATTAACAAATTACATCCTATATTATTATTTTTATAAAAAATATATTATATCTCGGGTCAGGCAGGGTCAATTGGTTGGATACCCCAGCCCTAAACCCTGGCCAACCCGAAGATTGGGCTCAACCTGACCATGCCCAAACAATATCGGGCAATATTTTTAGGACTCGAGTTGGACATATTTTGCTTGGGTCGGGTTGGGCATCTCGGGCTTATGGGCATCCTGCACAGGCCTAATTGTTATAAAGATAAAAAATTACATTTTCATGAATATATGAAGCATGTTATTGTCAGGAGTTCAATCTCTGCTTGTTATGCTTATGAAAAAGAGATGGTTGAATGTGGTTAAGCCCACTTCTATGATTTC